GTTTTATGTCCACACATGTAAAAGTCCAGCAAACTGTTGACGCTGCGGCACCAACTGCACTTGCAACACAATTGTTGCATTAAATAAATGTTTTGTATTCTAAGCGCCATACGCAAACGTTCCCTTTTCCATTCCAGTTATGTAGTGTGCCTTCAAGGCACAAAGACGTTGATAGATTTGCATATATTTATGTTGATGTGCGTGTACACAGAGAAAAATGTCTTACTAATATACGAAGTGTATGCGCAATAAATGATTCAGAAAATCTAAAGCAGATATAACAATTTTAAAACAAGTGATACTATGTACTAACTGTGAGTTGGAGTCGGTGTTCAGATCTCATTGACGATATATTTTTTGCTTTCAGTGAGTTTTTAAAATACCTTATTACTAATATATTTTAAATCGCAATAAAATACACATATTCAGACACTTCAATCACTGTAGCCTTCAATATCAAGAGTGGTTGAAATACATAACTTTTTCTCCGCGTGTACCAAGTTGCTTGCTCGCATACCACAATGGTAACGAGTCTAAGAAAGTAACAAGGGAAATGTTTGCGGTGTTCAGTACTAAGCAAACACAATGCTTTTTAATGAGTTTTGGTTCGGGTGCAATTATTCTTTTCCAGTTGTTGGAGGAACATCCAGCATAGTGATATAAAAAAATGAGTCTGAATGAAAAGTGCTGTTTTCTGCGTGATAAAAGAGCCAACGAAAGGCGATTTTACATTGTATTTTACAGTATCTTAATGAATACACATTACAATAGAATTAATAAAAATATGATCATTTATACAAATTCTCAAATTTTGTGTTTACAATTCCTTTGTACTCTTAAGTGGGCCCTTCATCCAATTATCCAATTATATACGGCTAACCGATGCAAACCCTAATTCAAGCGACTTAAATAGAAATAATTATAGCAAATGCACACAAATAATTGTTATTTTATGCCAAAAAGGCAGAAAAATAAATGACCACAAAATGCAAGCAAAATCACAGCGCCTGGCAACAAAAGCCAAATGCATTTATCAAACACATGTTAAGCTCAGATATTATGTTGTTGCAACTTGTAATTACAAAATGGGATTTACGTTTATGTAGCAAGGCATTTGCTGGGCGCTGTTCACATTATTAGTGGTAATATCTTTCATGCAATTTGCATTCTAGGCCCCCTCTCCTGCCGCATTTATCCCATCCACTGGCAGACAGTCAATTATGCCATTGTTTACATTAATTTCACAACAAATTGCATTTGAATTAAACTACAACGTTTGCACATCGCACGTTGCAGCTCCCCACCTGCTTCTTCTGCTGGATAGCAGACCCAGATAGACAGCTGGAAATCGCAAAAAAAAAAACAAAATTGTAGCATTTTGTTGATTTATAATGTGCATGGGCTGTTTAGTTAATTGAAATGTTATTATAAACGACGTCAAATGTGTCAGCAACTGTCAAAAATGTTGGCCTTTGCCAAATCTGTTGCAACATGGCGTGTTGCATTCACTTATATATGTTTATATATATGTATATAAATAAGTACAGTTTGACATGTAATAAATATATGACTAGCTAACTTAAATAAATACACAAAACTATGATGTTTTTTTTAACATTTTAAAATGGACATGTCGGGAGCATGAACACCAAGCTAAAAACAGCATAAAAGCAATAAAAAAATAAATAAATAAATCCTCTTCCGACTGGTAACAATAAATAGCATCAATATATAAATAAAAGTCATGATTACAATTAAAAAAGGAACCGCAAAACTATCCACAAAGTATTTGATTGCTGGTATATTTGTAAGTTTTGTTTTTTTTTATATATTGTTGTTGTTGGAATTATAATTAAAATGTTTACAAATATGCACATAAATGAATTGAATGCGTGTCAAATTATTTATATTGAACAGAGATAAATCAATATTAAATTAAATACACTGTATATAAATTGTGAAATGTGTAAATTATACACTTTCACATATATTGCACACAATGATACTTGAAATATTTAATTGAAATTTTCCTTAAATACAGAGCGCAATGATTTTGCTTAGAGCTTTTAAGAACTTAGCTCTCGCTAAAAAGAACTAAGTACTCTTAAAAATAATTGAGTATAGTATATGTATATATACAGCACTGTTTTCAGCTGCTGCTCTTTTGCACAGCAATTTGATTTTATAGTACCCTGTACTCAATCAATTGGGTTAGTAGGGTATTTAGGTGTTGCAACATTCTAGTATTCCAATTATGTATATTGATTCGGAGCACATTGCTAAACTGTATTTCCAATAAGTAAATTACTGAGTGTCCAATATATAAATGCGTAACAAAAATAAGAAATATGATATATATAATATTTCAAAAATACTTACTAACTCAATCTAAGCCAGTCATTTCCCAGCAGCTCGATAAGAGACAAGGTTGTTAATAAATAATTGTGAACATATTTAGTGACTAGTAGCTAAAATTTGTCACTCTTCAAGTTCATGCTTCAATAATACCTACAAATCTATTAATCTATAACTTGCTACATGGTATCTACTGAACAAGAGCACCCCTGCTTGTGTTCCGTTGTTTATGTATATATACACTATATACATATATATACATATATATACATATATATATACATTTATGCTTGGTTGAGCATACGAGCATCGCGCTTATAACGCAGTTGCCCGGGGTCTGGGACCTGGCCAGCAATTTTATTTTGTTATACCGCCGTGCAGAATTTTGTTTTCAATTTTCAACACTTTTAATAGCCAATTAATTAAGATGCCAAACAATAACAAATAAGGGTTTATAGTTACATACGAATATATATGTGCTTTTGCGTGTTTGTATGATAAAAAAAAAAAAAAATTAGACTGCGGCAGCAAACATTTTTATAATTACTTTACGTGGCTATATTTTTTCTAGCGCATCTACTGGAAAATATGTTCAGTTTTTCAAGGGCTTCGTTAAAAAACGGAATAAGCATATATCGTCGGCCACATAAATCATGGAAGCATTAATTTATGACGTGAAATGAAAGTCTGAGTTGGCAAACTCGTGCTAATAATTTATGCTTTTAACAATTGCGAATTATGAATTTTTAAACAATTGTCAGAAGGATCGTAAATTATAAATAAATAATTGGGATGGGATGTCGAGGAAGCAAGGGGTGAGGAGCCACACACTCAATTAACAAAATTACTATTTATGGAATTTTACGAGTCACTAACACACACACACACACACATACGCATATGTGTAGCTTGTTGACCCTCCTAGGATTAGTAGCAATTTGATGTCTGTTCTGAGCTGTTCCTGCCAGTATGAATACCAAAATTGAGACAGGGCTTAGCAATAAATACTGGGCATCTGCAAAGTCTTCACAAAGTCTCTTATTTATTTCTATGCATGAATTATTTATGGGACAAAAGCCGAGTTGGTCTCTTGACAAAACTTGGTTGGTTAATGTGCCAGGCCAAAAGTTGTGTGCGTTAGGTGTTAAAGCATCCGGGAGGGTATTAAAACTTTTCAGCATGCTCTTATGTTGAGACAGTCCATAGAACTATTTCTGTCTCCAAATATTAAAAGCCGAAACTCAGAAACTCTGCAACATTTTGAGACCTATTGTTATTGACATACACCAAAGTTTGCGTGCGATGTAAACTTTTGTCCTCTTTTACCTTTATGCAATCAAAGCATATTAGAAGACAACAAGTGGGTGACAAAAGCGCAAAGAGTTGTTGTCAACATATGGACAAACGAACGCTCTTGAAACAACTCCACTCTCTAGAGGCACTCAACCGATGTTGTTTTTTGTTTTACTTTTTCATATATATATATTTTTTTTTTTTTTAAAGGCACGAATATGAACATGGTTTTCTAAGGGCCTTGAGTACCATAAATTTGAGAGCAGCCAGCAGAGTTTTTGTTTTGTTTGCCAAAGAGTGGTTGTGACATTGGCCATTGCTTTGGGCAGCAATTAAATACATGTCAAAATGAGTGAAAAATAACATTAAAAAAGGCGCAATTTGCCTTTCTGGCAGACTTTCTGTGCTCACATTTCAATCCAAACAAAAAAATATTGGTTGATTGCAGGAAAATTGGCGACAGCTGCGCTAAAATATGATTGAATAATAGCAAAAGCAATCAAAATCGAATCGTATTCATATCGTTGGACTCTGGGCAACAGGTGCAATGTACTTCATGCCAGCCTTGAATAGTGAAAGTTTTTTTTAAGAGAGAATCATTTCGATATTATGTCAGATGTTACCTAACGGAAATTGATAAAAGTTACGCAAATCGACATTTAAAATCGACGTGAGTTGCAGAGTCGATTAGATAATACCATGAAGTTGATACCAAATTGTGTTCCTCACAGCGATTGGGGGTGGTCTGGCAAAATGGTTCACCAAATAAAGTGAGAGATAAATATTGATTTCTGACCACCATTTTTGTATAGATTTGGTTATCACTACTCAAACCCACACCATTGGAAAAACGAATTTGAAATGATTTTTGTGTTTTCTATTTTTTTTTTTTTGTTATCTAATCATTTTTTGCAAGAATCGTTTGCCATTTGTTAAACGCACTGATGGAAATAATAGAAAGCATGAAGATAAGCACAGTTTGCTAAAGAGGAGCAAAAGTGGGTGCATCATTAGATACATATTAGGCCAATATCGTGGTGGACATAAAATATGTACAAGTCTCATCCTGCCATTCCCAATTCAGACATTAAGAAATGTAGATATTCGCTTAAGAGTTGCTCTAGTCGCTCTAGTTTCTCTAGTAGACAATGCCACAGATATATCTTAACTCTCATCATCCACTCGAAAGTCTAAGATTTTCTAAAGTGAAGTTTGCATTAGACTTTTAATTCTGTTTGAAATCTTTAGCATATAAGCACAAGTCAATAATAACAACCATGTGCATAATGATCCCAATCGAATCGAAAAAGTGTCTGGGCGAAATCTTAACTTAATCAAATTGTTATACTCACGCATTAGAATCGAGCTGTTGAGGTGCTCCTTCGCCTGGCACTATGTGCTGCTCGCCGAATCGCCAAGGGGCGAGGCAATGTTGCTGTTGCTGTCCGACGTGGAGAGGGGTCGGCAAATGCCGAGACGCGTTTTACCCGGCGGCATACCCTTCAAAATGGCCACCGCCTCGTCCAGTTCGAGTCCTTGGAGTGTGTGCTCGCCGACACTGATGAGACGATCACCGGGATAGATCTCGTTGGTTGCCTCCGCAGCACCACCGCGTATTAGACCACGTATCACAATAACACTGCCCTCCGCATCGAGCGGATCCTGATAGTCGAGTATTGAGAAGCCGAAGCCCTGTTCCGACTTGTGGATCTGCACGACTGTCACCTCGCTGCTCCACAAAGCCAGTCCGGACACGTTCTCCAGCGATTTGGAGCGCTGCACTCCGGCGGCGGCGGCAGCAGCGGCCGATTCCGTCAGCGTCGCTGTGCTGGATGTGTAGAGAGAGCTCTCCGATTGCGCCTTACTCAGCAGATTCTGCAGACTCTGATGACCGCCGGGCAGCAGGCTGCGCGTCTCAAAGGCCTCCGGATTCTGTGATGTGTTTATGATGGAGGGCGCTCTGGTGCCCCGAGCACAGACCAGCTTAACACTGGCCGGCAGTTCCTTAAGTATCTTGACCACATCGATGTGACGCAGTCCGAGCAGCTTGTGCTCGTTAACCTGGAGCAGCTCGTCGCCCGGGCGCAGGATGCCCTGTTTGCCGACGGGACCGTCCTCGAGTATGGAGCGTATATAATGATGCGGACGCTTCTCAATGCCGCACTCGACGTCGACGGTGCCCTCGAGGCTGATCCCTAGACCTGAAAGTTTATTTATTTCGGCAACTAAAATTTCGCTTTCGGGAAACTCACTTGTCCAGGCCACCCTCAGCGAGGCGGCGCTGGGACTAGCTATGGCTATGGGCGTAACAATCGTGGGCGTGCCAGCGGGCATAACACTGCTCTTGCGCACGGTGGGCAGCACATCTGTTGGCTCATTGGTGGGCGTCTTGCCATGCTCTGGCTCAAGTGGCGCCACGTCCGGTTCCGGCTCTGGACACTGCTCGTCGGTGTCGTTGCCACTGTCATGATCGTGTCCATTTCCATTTGTTAGACGCGGCGCACTTGGATCGCTACGGTCCAGCATATGCGACATATTCGAGTCCACGGTGTCCCGCGAGGGCAGATCGGCAAAGTCCGCCAACAGCTGACCATCGCCGGCATCGCTGACAATGGAGTCAGCATCGGCGGATTTGGGTGGCAACCAGCTGAGCGTCGCTATCGATGGCGAGGCAGGCATCGATAGCTGCGACTGGCCATCGCCATCGTTGGCACTGCCGCCCTTCATCTCTGTTAGGGCCACCTGCAGATGCTCGAACTTGCGGCCGCGCAGGAAACGCTCCAGCGTCAGATGCACCACGATATCCGTGTTGCGCAGCAGCTCCACAGCCTGATGATTGGTTACACCTGCCAAAGTGCGTCCATCGACGGCGACAATGCGATCGTTGATCTGAATCTGGCCGCTCGTCTCCGCCGCGCTGCCCTCAATGATGCTCTTCACAAATATACCCGACAAATCCTCCTCCTCGCACACATAGCCGGCCACCGTGATGCCCAAGCCGTACACATTCTTGTGCAACTCCACAATGTACGTTTCCGTTTCCGGTGAGTCAACATAAGTTGAGGGCGACTCGGAGCCCAATGAACAGCAGTCGCCCTCATCTGGCGTTACCTTTGCCAACTTCTTGCCGGCGGCTATCACAGTGCCATCAGCCTTGTACTGCTCATCGTCATCCTCCGCTGTGCCCGTCCAGCGCTGACCCAGCGGCAGTTGCAGCGATTGTCGTGCCGTCAGCAGCGCCGTCGTTGGCGGCGGCGACAATATTGAATAGGGCACAATATCCAAATCTTGCAATCCTGCATCCGAACTGCTCGCATTGCTAATGGGCAGCGGAGGCAGCGGCAGATCGGCCAGTTCTGCATCCGGCACGGGCACCAGTGCCGAGATATTGCCCTGATCGGCAGTGTCCGTTGCGGGTCCGCCGGTGACGAGGCCAACCAGACTGCCCACATCTAGTGCGACTGCTGTTGCTGTGGCTAAGCTCGGATTGTGAAAGAGATGGCGCGACAGTTCTTCCGGGTCGGAGAGGAGCTTAGTTGGTATAATGGGCGCATTGCTGGCAAGCGTATTATAATCGATGGCCGTTGGCTCCACGGGCCGCGCCACAATCAGACGCACCTGAGCTCCGGTCTGACGAAGAACTGTGGCCACTTGCTCCGAGCTGAAACCACGCAGATTCACCTCGCCAATCTGCAGCAGATGATCGCCCAACTGCAGGCGCTGATCCCGCTCAGCGACGCCGCCCGGCGTCAGCGCCTTAATGACCACGCCCGTGCTCCGTCCGCCCACGAGAATAAAGCCAAGACCGTTGCCATCATTGATCAGATCGATAATCTCCACCTGGGACCATTCGGTGCTTAAGACCATGTCGCTGCTCTAGTTCCAAATGCTCCCGCTCTAGTAGTAATTACGGTTGGCTCTCGATTTCTTGCTGCTAACATGACGCCCTGCTGGTGGTGCTGTTGGCAATGTTGGTTTTTCGTTGTAGTTGTTGTTGTAGTTGTTGTTGCTGTTGTTGTTGCTGTTGTTTATATTGTTTATCGTGGATTTGCTTACTGCTTTGCTTTCAACATTAACTTTTTTATTTATCGGCTGTAGTTTAAGTTATCGTTATTGCATTTAGAGTTATTTTCAAGTTTACTACATTCAAGTGATGATTATGGATTCGCTGGGTGAACAGCTCCTGGTACTGGCAGCTCCAATGACATTATTGACTATAGCCACACAGCCTTCCACACGGCTGCAATTATTGACAAAAATAACAGCACTTAGTACAGTGCGGCACACGTCGCGTATACGCAACTCCGTCCCGTTACCGCGTCCCAGCACCAGCAAACGGAGCACGCAGCGAATTGCGTGACGGGCGTGAAAAACGAATTTCAAATGCCGTCCGTGCATTTGCGGTGCTACAGCCTTTATTTTCTGTATACCCTTGCAGTGGATTTATTATTCCTAGATCATTAAGTATGTAACTCATTCAAGCAGACATCTGTGGCCCACCCAAGATATACGTGTATATTTTTGATTAGCATAATCGAAACTAGTTCCTCAGCTATGTGGTTGAGTTATGTATATTGTAAGTAGGAATATATCCATCCTTTTGCAACATGCAGTGTCGAACTAGTGTTCCATATACAAATCTAAAATAAGAAACCTCCTCCTTGCAGAGTAAACCAAATTCCCCAGACTATTACTGGTACTTAACAATATCGAATCGAAAGATTTAACATAGTTGCCTACAATCGATCGGTATTCAATGTTAAAAAATCTAATATTAAATGTTTTCAGTTGGAGTCCGTTCTGCAAGGGTATTTTAGCGTCGGTGTGCCGAAGCTAGCTGTATTTCTCTTGCTTTATTTATATTTATATTATTTTTTATTCAGTTTTTTGTGCTTTTTGTTGGTTAGACGACTCCGCGTGCTTTAGCGCTTTTTTTAATAGCACCTTTTTTGCACGATTTCGTAATTTACATGCACACACACGCACGACACACACACACACACACACACACACACATACACACACAGAGACAGAAATATGGAGCGAGCTGTTTTTGCCTGTCGTTCACGTGCCACGCATGTTTGGCATTCACCTGCTACAACACCACCCTTCAGCCCATTGCGGTCCCATTTTCCCGCGCGCTGGCACTTAATTTGGAAAATGAGAAAACTCCCGGAAAACGCGACAAGTTTGCTGACTAAGTAAGGACTTTCCTGTAGCACTATGCTCTATGTATCACAAAAACAAATTGCACTTGAATGTATACCAATAACTAGTAACGTCCCTATATACATATATGTATGTGTGCAAGCTAAATATTGGTTGCTTTGCTCCTTTTCAGGAGGATGTGACTGGCTTTGAAGCATCAGAAATTTTCCTGTGGTTTCTTCTAATGATGGAACATTGCCAGAGATGAGCAATTTTAAATGACAGCAATTTAAATGAGAGCCTCCATGCCAGGTAAAGTTAGCATGTTAAGACTACTCTTTGAAAGTGTAAAACTGTTTCAGGTTTAAATAAAGTCAAACAACAAAAATTGAATTAAAGAATGAATCGAAAGTTAAATGGAAAAATAACCAAAATTTGTTTACAAGCAATTCAAATTAAATCAAACAATGCCAAATGCTAAAAGTTGATTGCTGATTTCAACACACATATTTGGTGAGTAGTATTATCAACAATTTATCGTTTAAAAAGATCATTGATGATCTCAACCTAATCATGAAATTTCACTATGAATTCTGTTCAATTTTATGAAAAGCTAAAAATTTTAAAAAATTCTAAGAATTTAGATCCGTTGAAAAATGATATGTTATGGCGGAGTCTATTAAAAATCAAGTAAACAATTAGCAAAAGTATCTTGCATTAAGCTAAAATTAACGAAACTTAACTTCTCCTTTGGTCAAACCAAGTTATTTGCACAGTATTCCTTCTAATGTAGTCGTTTTGGGAATGACCCTTAATTAAAGTTTTTCATTTTGTATCAAATAGAAACCGTTTGTTTTGAATATTTTCAGTTCAGAGTAAAATCAATTTAAATTGTAACCAAAAAAGGCAAAGTTAAGCGAAAGTTCACATTTATCATGATAATTATAGTCGTTTAACGCTTCCGCTTAGAAACACCCATCACTGTTGGCTAATGACGCTGAACGGAACGGCAGCTTCCGCAATTTTCGGTTATTGTGGCACGTTGCAAGTACTGTGGCAGTTGCAGCCTGCTATTGACTGCAGCTGTCAATTAAACGCTGATTGACTTTTCGTTCACGGCGTAAAGCAGCCCGATTGGATAGCTTTGGCTTTTGGATATTTACTTGCAGCCCTACACCCCCAACCCGCATATTGTGCTTCATTTAACTTGGTTGCGGTTGGCGGTTGGCAAGGGCGCGGGCACGTTCTATGACGAGGACGAGGACGAAAGCAAAAGCTAGTGCGAGTGTGAGTGGGTGGACTTTGGCATCCCAGCCCATTATACAAAAAAGTAGACCAAACGCGCTAGAAGTTTACAATGTGCGTGTGCGTCTGTGTGCAGGGATTTGTTATTGTTTGTGTGTGTTTGTTTGTGAATGAGAGTGAGAACGAGTGTGAGAGAGTGTGCTTGTAGGGTCTGCTATTTTTATATGTCTCAATTTAAGGCTGCTCCAATTGTGGACTGTTTTCACGCTCACGTTTCACGTTTCGTTTTGGTTACCCTTGCAACGGGTATTCTAATTTTGTTGCAAAGCAAAAGATGCATTTAAAGCAAATATATCTTTAAATCAGTTTCAGTAGTCGAGTTGATAGACCAGTCTAACAAATTGTTTTTATATGAAATTTTGGGAATATTATTTTGCCTCTAAAAGTGGCAATAAATTACGAATATTCTACAACTTTATAGCTACTATTGTACAACTCAATTTAAATGAAAGCAGTTGGAATCCGTTGTACAAAGGGTATGAAAACTTCGATGTGCCGAAAATAGTTTTCCATTCTTTTTTCATTTTATTGAAACTGCTGGCCACTGTTGCTTCTAGCGCACTTCAAACCTGCCGAGCCGCTGACCTACTGAGCATTATTAGCCGGCTCTCCGTTTTAACGTCGCCTCTCCTCCAAGCAGTCAAGTGTCAAAAATCGATAAGTGAAAAAAAATATATATATACATGAACACACACACTCACAGAAATAAATAAGTACGTGGTATATATATACATATGTATGCTTGAAAGATGGAAGTCTGGCTTGTTTACTCCTTTTTCTTTTTGTGGCTACATTTACGCCTACTGTAACGCCCACGCCCCCGCCTAATACCTAACGAATTTGACTTTCGACTGTTTTTTTTTTCAGCTCTCTACTTTGTTGCCAGTTGTTTGTTGTTTGTTAGTGCTGGTTTTTTGTTGTTGTTGTTGTTGTTGTTATTATTGTTGCTGTTGTTCTTAGCTTATTTCCGGCGCAGACTGAAAGGGCTCCAACCGCATGACTCTGCCAGTGACTGTTGCTGCGACTTTGGCATGTGGCTGCGCCTTTTGACCTACCTAAAAGCAGCGACGGCAGCAACGGAAAGCGACGGCTTTTAGCCAAATTGCGCGAGCATTTGCTGCAGTTTGGCTTGGAAAAAAACTTGTGAACTTGCGAGTGAAAAGTCGTGCACGCAATTACTTAGCAGTGTCTGCTGCTAGGAAATTGTCGCTGGCATTAAAGCACGCACAACGCGTAAGAATTTCTATTGATTTAACAAGCTGATGCAGCAAACAACAAATTGGCCAACAGACCCCAAACGTAAACGTGCCTTTTGTCTCACTCCATTTTCATATCTGTATGTGTATGTGTATGTGTATGTATTTGTGTGCGTCAGTATGTTGGCTGCTGTTGATGTTAACTCAATTTTAAATTGCAACTAGGCAGCTGTTCAATATTATTTATTCATTTTAAGTGGCACTTTGGACGGTTTTTAATTAGCTCGTACTTGCGCTGGCTGGCCAAACATTTGTTGGCCAACATTATTATCTCGCGTATGATTTTTAGCCACCTTGTTGCCACTTCATTCGCGTTCATTCACTTCGTAAGCATACACACACACACACACACTCACACACACACACACGTACACACAAATTGCTTTTGGCCAGCATTGGTTAACTGCCAGCTGTATTCGCTCGTATTCGGGTTTGTTTGCTCTATTTCTGCACTTATTCCTTCAATTCTAATTATTGTGCTTTATGCTTATGGCTCTTTTTTTTAATCAGTTTTACGCGCGCATTTTCCGGCACGATAACACGCCCGTACGCCACGAAGCTTCTTGGCCAAATGAGTTGCCCGCTGGCCAGATTGCCTCGGCTCCGTTACACTCACTCTCTCAAAACACTCTTCCCTCGCACGTGGCGGTTCTACAGGGTAGCTTCTCTCTTCCTGCACCTGCGCAATTCCACATCGCTCGCTCTCTCGCCATCTTCCTCTCATCTGCTCGGCAGTCGGCACTTGGCCAATATTTACATATGAAGTTGACGGCTGGCGACTGTTGTCGGCGGTTAAAGTTGCCGCCGCTTCGCATTCATTCAACTATCCCATTGTATGAGAGTGCGTAAGAAAGCTTTTCGACACAGTGGCGCTGGCTGTCGACTTTATAAAGGGGATTCGAGCTTACGCTTGCGAAATGCAATCCGAAAATTATTTTGGATTATGTAGGAAATATAAATATATAATAAAATATATATATATATATATAATAAAAAATATAAAATATTTATATATATATAGAGTGCTTTAGGCCAACAGAATTATATGCATTTTTAAAATCTGACCATTAATTATCTACACATGCTTACAATTTTCAAAAGATTTGGCGAATAATTTCAAAATTAAATCTATATTTATATTGCAGTTTGATCAATTTTTCGAATATTTTGGTATAAACAAAATTGTTTGGCCCCACTATTATCATCTTGACATAAATTGCATTGCATATTAAAATTTTACGACGTCATTCAGCGTCATTCCAAATAAAGAAAATCGAAATTGAAAAAACATACATATATTTAATCTCAGGAAATCCTAAGCAAATATGCAATATTTGAATATTTTTAAAATTTTACAAAAATCGTATTCACTTGGCTTAGATTGTCACCCCATTTATCTTCGACATACATTGCATTGTATATTAAAATTAATTATTTACTTTACGACCATTTCATTCAGCGTCATTCCAAATAAAGAAAATCGAAATTGAAAAAGAAATATATATTTAAACGCACAACAAGTGTGCCATTAATGGTCGAATGGAACTTAGAAAAACAACAAACTTCCTGCGCCTGCTCCGTTGTCCACGGCAACCTCAGACTGCGAGGGCTACCAAATAAACATAGTACCTGGCAGGTGGAAGTCAGTGACCAGCCAATGATTGGCAGCACCACCTCAAGACAGTCTCAAATCAAAGCAAATACAATAAACGTGTAGAAGAAAACAACAAAAGAAGCGGCAACAATCGTTACATGGTAGCACCTGCCCCAACCTCAAGCTTAAGCTTAAGGTTTTGGCACGATGGGTTCAGTGAACCATTTCGTCGACCCGTCGGTATGCCACATTTTAGTGAAGTGTAGCAATCGAAGCGAGAAATCAAACTCAGTAAACCCAGTAATCCGCTTACGATATGTCCTAGTCTAAGATAGACTTTAGAGTATCCGGAACTATTGTCAATAATACTACACGAGAAAAAGTTATTATATTGCCAAAAACTATTATACAAATCAAAAAAAAAAAACGGGAAAAGAGAACACTGAGTAAACAGAATAACAGGACAGTGATTACAGCATTATAAAATGACAGCACCGCTAATCAACTCTGACGAGGATTATTACATGGACGAGCCCTTTGATGAGGAATCTCTGTCAGAGGTAGAGGAAGAGCAGGAGATTGAAGAAGGATTGTTGGAGGGCAGCGATTCACAGACCGACAGCGATGTCGAGGCTGAGTATCTGCGCGGCAATGTAAGTGCAACGCAGCAGGACCAACTGCCGGAGCTGACCATCAAACATTTTAGCCTCAACCCTATGCCACTCTTCCCACAGCCCCATGCTCGCCGCCTGCAGATGTACCAAAAACTCAGTGGCGGTGGCAGCGGATTCTCATGTGAGAACAAGTTAACATACGCCAGCTCCTCTTCCGAGGATGACACACATGTGGTAATCACAAAAACGGTGGCCGAGGTAAATCAGCTATCGTTACGAAATGAACACATGGATGAGGAAACTATTTCAGTACGCACACTTGTACCCAATACCAAGCAGATCGATGATGGGGATCAGACTGAATTGGAAATGGAAGGAGAAGACGAGATAGGAGATGGGGAGGAAACTATATTCGATAATTATGATAACGAATCAGAACAAAGCAATGAAGAGAAAGAGGAAGGTGTTGAAATAGGCCAACTTGAAGAGGAAGACGAGCTTGAACCGGAAAACCAATATGAAATGACCGCTGATCAACAGCAACCGCAAAATCAGGATCTTGTCGACATTGTCGATGCCAACGAGAGCGAAATGGAGTCGTCGCTAAACTCGGACAGTGAGGTCAAGACTGTGCCAGTGCCAGCACCGCGGAATATAAAACGGGGGCATAAGTACCATCCAGATCTGGCTAGAAGACCCGTTGGTGATGTTGATGATGCACCTCAAGTGCCGCAGCTACACTTACCAGATAACTATAAAGTTCCAGATATTAATGGATTGGATTGCGATGGACTGGGCACAGCTGAGCAACTGAATGTCAAATTTCTGGAACAGCAAATGCAACAAATGTCAGAGATGATCATGAAAACCTATCGTCTCCATGGTGGGACAACAGACAATAGTGCTTTCGAGCATTTGGCAATGGCCACCGATCTGTTGAAGAAACAAGGCAAAGAAATGTCCGAAATGTGTATGGAAGAAGAATATGAGGAGTCCAAAGCTTCCACCTCTGTTTGTTCGGAGAAATTAAGTCGTCGTAACTGCCGTTGTCCGTCAAGTACTGATGTACATCAGCCCGAGCAGGAGCCGTTTTTTATGGATGAGTGCGGCCAGGGCGATGGACTGTTGCGCTATCCTCATCTTGGCCAGCAGCATTCAGCTCGAATTGACTGTCGCGTTTCCAGTGTTACACCTAGCAGCTATAACAGCGATAGCAGTGGCTTCCACATTGAAGTCGGTCGTCCACGCTCCGTTATCTCATCGGAGGTGAAGTGAGTAGGTAACATAGAAAATCCTATCATCGTTGTTTAAATCGTCCGTTTCCAGCTTCAAGAACTTGGGGCGCAAAAGCTTCAGCTTTACCAATCCGCAAGTACGTGAAATTGAGCGAGCGAATAACATCTTGCTAAAGAAAATGATGAATGTGAAGACCACAATCAAACCATCCATCAGTGCAGTCAAATCCAGCACTAGTGTGCAGGCTAAGGTTAGTACACTTTCCAAGACATGATTAATGGATAATACTCCCAATATTGTTGTAGAAACAGCCACCGCCTCGCTTGACAAGCGCGGCCGTCAATCGCAAGAAAAATCAGCGCCAGATCGACTTGGATAATGATGTGCTTAAGCGCAAGCTGGAGGCGGTAGGATCGCGCCGTCCCTTATTCAAATGAGATGCGCTGTTCGATGAATATCATTATAATAATTTTAGAAATGTTTAAAGCGAATTTATCAAATTAAAATTTATTGCAAGTTATGAAATGTAGTAAATGTGTATGTGTGTAAGGTCTAAACTAAGCAGAGGTGCAATTGAAAATGTAGCAAGTAAAACTTGGCCAAAAAGGGCCATTACAAATTCTAATTAATGAATAAATCCTAATAAGAGATCCGATTTAGTAAATTTGAATATAGAGTCGAGTTCATTTGGCATTGATCTTGTCCAAAATAACTTAGCAAAAGTAAATGGTTATTTAAATATTTTTAAAATTTTGCAAAAATCGTATTCACTTGGCTTAGATTGTCACCTCGTTTATCTTCGACAAAAAGTTTTCGCCCAGCCCCTTAACCAATTTAAACGCAGCATCGCCATTCTGCTCCTTGAACTCGGCCTCATTTTTCAACTTTACCGTCTCGCGCTGTTCTATTTCCCGATAAATAACTTGGCCGATCTGAAAGATTCCAAATTGGGTATTGGTATTGTTTACTAAGTAAATATGTTTTTTACTCACATAAACATCAATGGCCGCATACATTAGTTGATTCTCGTCCAGCGGTATAACATGCCACTTGCTCATACGCACTTTCTTGCTCTTGTCCATGGCCTTCTTGGCTATAAAGTTTGCCAACCGTTCAAGGCTCCATCTGCCACCAGTTTCGCAGACTTGATTGCACCACACGCCTAAATCGACGCATTTTTCAATAAGCGGCTCGGCTGACATCTCAGGAAAGTCGCGCTCAAGCTTCCGGAAGTCGCTACAAATGGAAAATATTGAAGATTGTGTTTATATGCATTTCTCATGTAACTCAAAATCTTACGCCTTTATATTCACGCCATGCAGTCGCACTTTAGGATGATTTATGAGAGCCGCCAGGGCTGCGGGTATTTTATTCAATTTACTTAGCTGGTACACATAACAGCAACGCTCATCTACGCATATTTGTATAACTGATGATTTACCGGGACCGGTTTGAAACGAAAATGGCCATTCCATGTCAAATGCCATGGGCACAACATCCATGTTGATTTGTTTCTCAACCCATTGCCTGAAATACATTATCTTAGCGTTTATTCGTCAACCAATTCTCTGTACTTACATGACTTCATCTGCTGATGCAGCGATCTCTTGGCTTTCGGTGAAATATTTAATGGCCCCGCTATACTTGATGAATGGCAACTTCTTCGGAATTTCTTTCTCCGGTGATGCTGGGCCGTCCTCAGCCATAGATCTCATGCTGCGAGTAACACGGCTGCTTCTACGCTTTGGTGGATTTTCACTTTCGGCATTTTCCTTGTCCTTAATCTTCAATATACAACAATACAATTATTGTGTTACACAAATATAAAGTTACTGTACTTACCATTTCAGGTGTATCTTGATTTTTTCGCTTGTTATTATTTGTTGCAATTTGCTTTTTGGCAGCGTTGGTTTGCTTAACTCTTTCTTCTTTGGCAGAGATTTTCTTTAAGGACATTAAAAAACAATCAGTTTATATTTTTTTATTGTTTGCATTGTTTGCTTACCTTCTCTGTAACTTCAATGCTATTTAATTTCACAGGCATTTTAATTAAGTATTTATCCATTCTTCAGTTGTTGTGTACAGTTTATTGGCGCCAAAATTACATCCAGTGCTGGAAAGTTGGCGAATTTGGTATTTTTTAAAGATTATTTTTCCACTAAGTGGTAATACCCTATCAATATAGTCTGGCAGGTCTGGTCTGTTATTGCGCTGTTATGCCTCTGTTTTGAAGCCATTTCAGCTGTTAAACTCAAACTCACTGTTAACTAGCAGATCATATGTTTGCGGCAAGCGACCGGCATCAATTCAATTTATTTGTGTGTTGTGACTTGATAATTAATTTAGAATAACATAATGGCCACAAAAGTAGCTGCCCATTACATTTCGGAGAAGGTGTCAAATGTGCGTTGGCTGCCAGAGCAGCTGCAGCAGACCGAGCGGTTCGTAACAGGCAGCTGGGACATGGACAACAATTATGTGCGCTTGTGGCGTCTGCACGCAAATCCATACGCCCAGGAAGTTCAGCACACGCCGCGCTGCAACGATAAAGTGGCCATGGATGGCGATGTCACCGGTTTGGAGTTTGTCAACGAAGACACTCTGGCTGTGAGCTGTGCCGACGGTTAGCGCTGAAGAGCTGCCCTAAGTTATTGTAATGATGCATTCTCCACTTTTTATAGGCCACCTTAGCTTGCTGAAAGTGCACAGAGCCGTCGAGGAAGATCAATTGGAGCGCATGGAACGCAGCGAACGCCTGCACGAATTCAAATGTAGTCAAAAGAGTGCGCCTTGCACGGCAATTGATATATATGGCAACGACATAGCCACCGTTGGCGAAGACGGCTGCGTCAATGTGTTGAGTGCCCACAATTTGAAGCAAGTGAAGCGAACCATCGATGCCGACAGCATATCTCTATTGTCCGTATGCTTTGTTAACCAGCATCAGCTGGTGACTGGCAATCGAATGGGCGTCATTCGAATGCTCGATGTACGAGTTGACAGCACGGGGCAACAGGATATTTCATTCGCTGCTGCCAGTCAGGATCCAAAAAACTCGAATTTTGTGTCCGCGATGGCCACGCATCCCATGCAACAGCACATCCTTATATGCGGCAGCGAGGAGGGCTCCATTACGGTGTGGGATCTGCGCAATTTCGAATATCCAGCCTCATATCTCAGCGCACACAACAGTCCCATCACCGACATAGGATATCATCGCCAGGATCCGTCGAAGTTGTTTAGCGCCGCCGAGGCAGGCGAGGTATGGATGTGGTCCGAAAAGAAACAGCTCATTGATATGAGCAAAAACGATGGCAACAGTGCCTGGCTGAGCGGTAATCGAGTGCGCTCCTTGGTTAATGTGGATGGCGTGCTGACCGACATACGCAATCCCGTCAATTCATTTGATGTGCACGGCTCACGACTGATTTGCGGGAGCGACAAGGAAGTCATTTATATTGCAGATGATATTTTTTAAAATCAAATTTGTACTAATTCTGCTGTCATTTAAAATGAAGTTTGTTCACTTATCTGACTTTTACTTTTCTTGTGCGCCTATTGAAAGGATTTTTCAGAAGCGTAAATGGGTCTTAGGAACATTTTTAAAACCTCAAATTACATAACAAATGGATTTTAGAATTTTCACTATGCTAAGTGCAAAAAATAAGAATTCTTTGCGCATAAGAATAACCCGTGAAACTGAATTTATCTATTTTTCAAGCATAACCTGCAAAATTTAAGTTGATCTTGGCATTTGTTCATTATTTTCAGAATTTTTGAATTAATTTGTATCTTCATACAAATTCTTTAGATTTTGTTCTTTCCTTATATATACAAAGAAAGGGTTTTGTTAATTGAGTTTTAGAATGTTTGAATGTATATTTTATGCATTTAATTTCAGTATACGTAAAATTGGCTTAAATCAAAGCACCTGACTTAAAATTATGCTTATTAGTACAATTATACCTAAATATACAATGACTTAAATAAATATTTTCTGGGTGCTGCTATTTGGTAACTACAGAAGCGTAACCAAAAAAAAAGGAAGTTTCAGAAACAGTGTTTTGATGAGGCATTTAAATGCACATAAATTTTGAAAATAATCGAAAAATTAACGATGAAAGCTTTTTTTAATTCGAATTATGTTAAGTAAATCTTAAGATTTGCACTACAGTGACATTAAACAGATACATTTTTGTTCATGAATATTTAGCACATTTAAATCCAACAGATTAAAAGTATTTATTTATAAAACTATCTCGATAATCTTTGTTATATTGCCTAGGTTTGTGTTGACTTAATGTATATTCGTTGGCTAATTTTGGATAGATTTATGCGTGTTTTTCAACTACCATATACATTCATATGAGCTAATGTTTCTATATGTATATATGCGATGCAAATAATAAATACAAAATGAGTTTATATAGATTATATGTACAAGTTAAGCACTTAGGCCTCGATTAGTTTTTGTTTTCTTTTTAAGTTTGTCGATGTCAATTGGACTTTGAGCATTTACAATTGCATTTCAATGTGGTTCTATTTGGGAACTGCAGCCAATTTTTTATATTTATGAGTAATTCCATTCAATTTGGGTTTCTTGGTCATTACGTCTCTAATAGAATCGCTCGAATTTTGGTGGCTTGTTGAGTGCGCAAAAATAATACCCTGAATAGTTTTGTGTTGCGCCGGGTGGAGTGTAGTCGCTGATGCTGTAATTCCCATAGTCGTAGGCGTGGGCGTGGCCGTGGTGATGCATGTGGTGTGGATGCGTATGTGTGTGTGTGTGTGGGTGCGGGTGCGGGGGGTGATAATGCTGAAAACCGCCTGCACTGCGCGGCTTTTGTCATGTGATGAGACTGCTACCACCAACGCCCGAGGTATTGCCACCAATACTGCTGCTGCTGCTGCTGCCACTGCCATTGCCACCAGTTCCATTCGCATTGTTGCCATGAACGCGCATGTGCCGATTGAGATTACCCGATTGCGAGAATCTATGTTTGTATACGTGAGAGGGTTTGGGGTTAGTTCCAGTTCAATTCCAGACGATTTTAATGTTAAGAACATAACACAACACTCACCTGAGTAGACACAATTTGCATTGGTAGGGCTTCTCGCCGCTGTGGATGCGCAGATGTTTGGTCAGTGTGGAGCTATCCGAGAAGGACTTCTTGCAGGATGAGCAACGATATGGCCGCTCGCCGGAATGGGTTCGCATGTGCGTGGTGACGCTGGAACTCTGCGAGAAACGTCTATCACAAATGGGACAGCGAAACGGCTTCTGTCCCGTATGTGTGCGTACGTGTGCCGTCAGATTGGCGGCCTGTGAGAAGCTCTTGTTGCAATCCGGACAGCGATACGGCCGCTCCCCGGAATGGGTCCGTAGGTGCGTCTTCAGTGTGCTTGGTCTCGCATACGTCTTGCCGCACAGCCGACACAAATTCGGTTTCATATCACCGCCGGCGCTGCCCTCACCATCGCCATCCCCATCCCCATCCTCGATGCTCTCCTCCTCGTCCTCAAAGGTAGCCAGCCCGAGACTTAGAGCTGTTGCCTGATAGCTGGGACTCTTGTTTGGCGGCGTGTAACTCTGCCCACCACTACCCGATGCATAATAGCCCAGCGCAGTTGCTGTACTGGACGCAGGTGGCGACGGCGACTCCTTGTCGGACAGCGATGGAAGGCCGCTGAGTGATGTTGGTGGTGGTGCACGGAAATCAGCGGTGAACGAATAGGTGGCCGAGGCGGGATAGTGCGTTGGACTCAACAATGGTGGGTAGAGCACATTAACGGCCGTCGCAGAGTTGTTCGGCGGCGTCCAGTTCATTTGGGAGCATTGCATGGGCACGGCACCAGCGTCGGCACCATAGCCATGATGCATGGTCATGTTCATGCTGACATTCACACTCATACTGGGATACATGGGCGGTGCTGTTGCATTGGCTGTGGTATCATAATAACAGGCACCGCCAGAACCGGATCCGCCAGTGCCAGGAGCATTGCCAATAAATCCGTTGCTATTGTGATTGTGGTTGTGGAGCGTGTTACCACCGTGCGATGCCTGGTTGAGTGCCTGCTGCATATGCTGGGGCTGAAGCTGATGGGAATGTGTGGACGATGCCTGCGAGTGAACCTGCTGCTGGCTGCCGTTCGGTGAGATGAGCATCTGATGCGGATGCACCGTGTAGGAGAGGGAGGCCTGATGTGGATTGCTTGCAAAATTGTAGGAGGCGCCGCATGGTGAGAAGGGAAACAGACTGGGCAACGGATCTATGTCCAGTGGCGGTAGGCCGGGAAATGTGGAGGCCATCTCGTCGGTACTCCAATAGCTGCCGTTGCCAGCGAGCGAGGCTCCGTTGTTATTGTTGCCACTGCCACACGCCGATAGATTACTGGCCGGCGGCGTTGTGTTGATCTGACTGCTCAGCACTCCAATCGTTGGATCAAAGCAACCTCCGCAGTCAAAGTCGCTGCTGGTCAGCGAGGAGATAGGCAGGGTTGTGTTGCCTTGGCAGGATAAGCAGCCGACGCAGGATGCAGCGCACTCTTGCTATAAAGGCCAGATACGAAAAATCTCCTTTAGTCAAAACCGACACGGAAAACTTGAACCGACCCGAAATATAAAAATTTTTTAGCGCGCTTAAATACCTGTGGACTGTCCAGCGCCAGACCGAATAATGGATTATTGGGCACATAGCCCGTTTCTGGTTCCACAGGACCTCCGTTTGAGACATCGCACGATATGTACATAGCTCCACCCTCTTGATCTTCCAGGGAATCTGCGCAGGTGTGCCCAAAAAACAAGGGATAAAAAATCTCTTGGAAATTGAATTCACTATGGCAATGCGTATCTGACAGACACATTTCACACAGTTCACAGCGAGCTGCGACCCACTGTGCGCGAAACTCCGCCCCTTAGCGCACACACACACTGGCGCAAAATGAGCGAGCTCGCCGCCATTTGCTTTTGCCTATGTTCTCAGCTCAGTTTGCTGGAGTGGGCTGCTTGGGGGCGGCTTTCTCAACTCCATGAAATGTAAAACTCACCCAGAATTATGTTCAAGAGTTTGGAACCTTTATATAACAATCCCATGACATGACTCCAGCTGGCTTTTGTATTTTATTTCTTGTTTTCCTACGTTTCATTTTGCTGCGTCATTTGCATTTTCCAGCTAAAAATTCACAAATACAACATTTATTGACTATTTATGGATTGCAGATTTAGTAATTAATACTGCAATTACTATTTTCTTTACATATAATAATGTAATATTTTTAAATTAAAGATCATTTTTGAATTTAATATAAGTTTATATGTTTCATTTTGCTGCGTCATTTACAATTTCCAAATAAATTTGCAGAAATACATTTATTAATTTGCTCTATAATGCAATTACTATATTTTTTATAAATAATAATATAATATTTTTAAATTAGAGATAATTTTTTTGTTTAATTTATGTTATGTACATTTTGAGTTGTTCAATTCAAAAATAAATAAGTTAACTGAAATAGAATTAAGCTCAAGGGGAACAGCTTTTAAATGTTTTTAAAAAAGTTAGTTGGCTATTTTTCACGTATTTTTCATGTAAATCTTTAAATAAAAAGATCAACTGTTTTTTTACACAGAGCACAAATTTTGGAAAGCAGTTTTTTATTAATTGGCAGGACTCAGATTAGAAACTAAAGTCACCAATCAATTTTATTTATAAGACAAGTGGTTCTGCAACATTTCATTGGAAATTATTATAAAATTATTATAAATTATTATAAAATGGCCTTCAATCATTTTTCTTCTTTCATATTTTTTCAAAATACACCCATTTAATAGTCAATCGAAAAGTAATCAATAATTTTCTTGTAACAAATTTGTATGCACCAAGTTTTACATGTTTTTAAGTTTCTGGTATTTAATGACGTTCTTAGGAAAAAATCGATTTATTTTAAATAAATATTTCTAATATGTTATATAACATAGTATATTTTGTAGTCAACCATTTTAATATGTCGATCAGAATAATATAATAATAACTGCATGAAATACATCAAATACATGATCTTTAATATTATTCAATATTTTATTTGAATTTTTTAGTGTCGCACCTTCTCGTTAAACACGTATATCTCATTATCAAGACACAGCACTGAATAGAAGTTTTCAAATGTAGATCTTTCTAAATTTTTCACAAATTTTAATAACACTTTCTTAATTCACAAATGTTGAGTTGATTTATGATAAATTATTATAAATTAATGGACAACTTTTAGATTTAGGATCTTTCGTTTTGATTGCGACACGTTTGCTAGAATTTCTTGGCTATAGTTAGTAAGTAGAACCGTTATTTAAATGTAAACTTTAACTTAATGCGGGGGGGCAAGAAGCGACTTTCGGCGACGAGCATAAGACAGCAACTAATTGTCAGTTTCAGTTCGAAGAGTCTCGGCCGATATTGGCGACAGGGCCCAGTCAGACAGCGTCAAAGCGACAACCACAGAAAAAATGCTCACTTAATTACAAATAAGCGACAAAAGGGCGCAAAAGACAACAACGTCAAAGCAAACATACACAACCTCACACACTCTCAGCATATACAATGACACAAAGTGCTCAACTACACATGAGAGACCCTTACAGCCGAGTGTTGTTGTTCTTCTTGTTTTTGACGTAGACACCCCCTCCAGCAGCAACCACCGCCGACACCACCACCACCACCATCAGCAGCAGCGGCAGCGGCAGCACGGACTGTACAACAGCCAACCAATGCGCTTCGGTCTCCGTCATCGTCTCCGGTATGCCGGCTTTTGCGGCGACAACTAACCCAACCCCCGAGCCCGAGCCCGAACCAGTGTCCGCCCCGTCCAACAAGCTCATTCATACGTAGCAGCAGCAGCAGCAACAGCAGTTTTTCAGTAGTTTTTATTTGTCACCCAATATCTTTACAGCTCGACACCAGATATCTCCGAGCCGACCGGACTGCGACCATTGATCGTCTTCAACGGCGGCTTTCTGCTTCCTTCGTTCCATTCTTTGTGGTTAAACGTGTTTGCCTTTGCCACTGCTCTGTGTGACAGTCCATCACTCCATCAGGCCCGGCAGCCCCATCTCCCTCACACACTCGCTCACTAACTGACTAAGCGACAGCAACAACCCTCTGCTTCTGCTTCTGTAACTTGTATCTTGTATCTTGTATCTAACATACTGCTTATTCTCATTTCTAGCGACCAATGACAATTGTATCTTTGCTCCGCTCATTTAAACCTATCGATCGATCGATCGTTGCTCTTTTGCATAGTTACAACAACCCGACAATTGTAAATTATTTTTGCGATATTTGATATATCTCATTGTGGTCATGTTGTTTGTTGTAAGCTGAATGCAAAAAAAAATTATGAAACATTATTATTTTCACAGCGACTTGTTATCGCCTTGTTTCTTGCCTAGACTAATCATGGCAACAGAATCGCTGTTACCTGCAACCAGGGATAACAACAAAAAAATCAGTTATTGATTATCACATCAGGGGATATGTTTCAAAATACTCTTTAGAAACAACAAAAGCTTTGTAATTATTTTTACAATCAATTTTTACCTTAAGCGAAACTGATTTTCCAGAATCTACGAGATAGATTTTGATAGTTGGATTCAACATAAACAAAACTAAATACATTTTAAATATAAGGCCTTCATTGACCGTTATTTGAAACTTGCATTTTTGAGATACAGAATAAAAATTAAATATTCAAATTACTTTTGTATTTTTATAATAATAATAAATAATTTATTTTGAAACAGAAACTGCAATTATTTATGGTCACTATCTCCATAGTAGTTGCCGCACTTGGCTAACAAGATTTTTTTTTTAAATTATTTAAGTCAGTTAAGTGTAAAGGCTTTCAGTGATTGCTCATATCATCTTACCATATTGGTGGGAATTTTAACCCAAGGACTACAGCAACAACGTCGTGTGTGTTAAAAGTTTTGGCCAACATAATCAAAGCATGGCTCGGATCCTAACCAGTTTTGTTGTTGCTCTTGCTGCGATCGGTTTCATGTCGAAAACTCGTCGAGGACATGAGCTGAGCCTGAGCCCTAACACTGAGCCCATGTTTTGCTGCCGATTGTCAGATCGCATTAGTCTCACTATTAAAATCAGTGCATGGAGTCTGGTAGCTGGTCACCGGTAACCAGTATTGGGCCTGCCTGGATATCAATAACAATTTTGGTTTATTCACCGTGATGATTAGAAATTTTCGCATAGGTTTCCAAGTGTGCTCAGGTGTCATACAGCTGTGCACACCACACGCCCCACACGGATTGACTGAATTCCAATCCCCTCTCTGAATTAACCGCAGAATTCTTTAAATCGTTAGCCGTTCCTGGGATTTACTGTTACATAATAAGCAACGGGATAAACAGTTCAATAAAAAGTTCAGCCCGCCACCCTCTATTGTACCTGTTATCACACCAGCTCATCATGAAGCTCGACACAATTTATCAACTACACAATTTATCCCTGCACGTGAATTTGTTTACCCCAGAGCTCAATCCAATCACTGTTTATTCAAAGTATTTAATTTGGTCCTTGCGGTGGTCCTGGTTTTGGTCCTGGTCGTTTCTCACTACAATTGTTGCTGGCCTGCCTCCAAAGCGAGTTCAGTGAAGCATTCGTTTCATTTTGCGTTGTGTTCGGTATTCTGTATTGTGTTTTTGCGCTGTGTTCTGCGTTCTGAGTTCTGTGTATGGACGAGGCTTCAAAAATCAATGAAATACTTTTCGGGCGGCACTCTTAGGGCTTCTCAAGCCTGACTACACTTTGCTTTTATGATGTTGGTAGTCAAGTCTTTCGACATGCTAATGTCGCTAGATGTCCGTTATTAACAATATTAAATATATTTGCTTGGTAAATGGGTGGGCGCTTACCAATTAGATTGACAGTTAGCCCAATTATATACATACATATGTGTTATAAAAGTGTAATCATTCTAGTTGAAGATCTAAGCACGTCTGTTTGCTTATGCTTAATATTTGTTGTTTCTGCAAACTGATAAGCTCATTTGTATTGCGTGTAGCGTACATCCATAAAGTGATTTAATTTTCTCTAACGATATTTGTAATGAGAAATATAACTTTAACATTTTAAAGTTCAAATTAAACCAAACTAATTTAGCGAACCTATTAATAAAGAAATTACTTAGGATATAAATAATGTTATCAAGAAGAGCAACTTCAGTTTAAGAAATCAATAATAAGAGGCTGTAAAATGTGTTTAACAAATGAGAGTAAGAAAAGAGAGTAAATAATAAAATATTGATGAAATATCTTGCACAATTAAATATATTTAAAATTATTGTTTTCACTAAGGTTTCCAAGAAAGCCTCGGCTTGCCATTTTGGCTATGGAATTTTGGTATTTTTTTAGTTATTTCAAAATCGTTGTACTTATTCAGCCTTCATATTTTTAATTTTATATTAAATATAGATTTGCTCATTTCAAAGGTGCAAACTCTTTGAGTTTCCTTGGCTGTGAAGTAAAAAAAACTGTGGGTTAGCGTCAATATTATTTTGAATATGTATTAACAACTGTTACTCGTGCTATATAATGCCACTTACACCTACAATAAGCAGCCCACAACATACGTCAGTCCGGTTGATGAAAGTATCGATGATCAATTGACAGGCGCAGCCGTTGCAGGACACAGGACTCACCATTGCTGACAGCTGTACGAATTGGGAGCCGAGTTCAGCTCATAGCCTATTTCTTATTAAAAACCTAAGCCTGCTTATTAAACCCGCGAGGCAACGGCGACTTATTGCTAACAGAAAACAGAAAGCAGGCGAAGCGACAGTTTGAGCAACTGACTGACTGCGCCAGGATATGTCCTGTGAGCTGCCCTCCCAAAAATCGACTTGAATTACAGTTGGAACTGCAAACTCTGAAATATGTTTGTGGATACTACGAAATTACACTTGAGTGAAGCGCGCCAAATTGAATTTGTAAGGCGATACTTTCAAGAGCCTCAAGAAGCAAGGGTTCTTGTCCCTTATCAATGGGTAAAATGACTGACTGACTGACTGTCAGCTACAAGCCAATGTAACAATAAAAACCCACTCGACGGCCTGCTACTGTTTTTTATTATTAGAGAATCACATCCGCAAACAGAAGCGCTAAAGATAGCAATAGAGCTATGACAGTTTCTCACAGCAGCTGAGTGGGGGTGGTATGGTGTGGAGTGGAGGGCGGCTATTCAGCGGCAATTATCGGCAGTGGCACGTTTCATTATCAAGCCGCAAATGATTATCCTGTAAGCCTTTGGATAAATATTAAATTTCAATTATAGTCGTTAACATATTATTAGCCGGCAATCATTATCATTGACGCCAGGCGCTCTACCGGAGCACCGTGCACAGAGCACTACCGGAACCAGAAGTCACGTGTCAACCAGTCGCTGATAATAATCAGTTTGTATAACCGCAGAGGGGTGCCATCGCGCTGGCAAAGAGACAATGCGATGCGCTCGCAATTTTATCAGATTAAGACCAACAAGCAAGGAGCAACAGCACTGTCCCTTGTGTGTATCCTTTGCTTGATCGCCCGCCAACCCGCCTGCATCGAACCGCCCTCAACAGGTGACAGAATTGACCGAACATTGTGTGAGAAATATTTTGGCTACCAGTTTAGTGAGCGGGTTTCTTCTTTGGCCATATCGAATTACCCATTGCCGCTGTGATTTGTCGTTTTTATTAATTCTCATGAACTGAAATTGAGCCCACCAAAGGAAATTAAACAACAAACTATAAATACAAACAGTTGACTTTCGAAATAAACTCAAATTTCCCTACCAAGCTAGCACAGCTATGGAACTAGTTCTTACTCAGTAGAACGACTACTAACTAACATAAATACTAATAAATATACTTTAACAGCTTGCAATTATACCAGTAACATTTGCCGACCTGTTATTAACAGAATGTATTGTAATGTAATGTTAAAAAAAACTGGTTTAAACTTTGTATTTATTAAGCAGTGATAAATAAAAATTAATGATAAACGAATTGTTTTTTTAGCTGTCAGAAATTTACTGCAAAGAATGTGAAAGTATCCGTAATATATTCAAATTCAGAATTTGTTTGCTTAAATTAGTCTTCGAAAAGCTGCATTAAAATTCAGAAATTGGTTGTTTAAGACTTTTGTCGTTTATTCATTTACGTGGAAAACTTAAGCTTATGATTTACTCCCCCCAAATTATGGATAGTGTATGTAATCAAAATGTGTAATAATTGAGAATTTCTTCAAACACTTTTTAGATCTTGGGATCCTGTGGCGTCAGTTTGACAATCTTAACGGACTCCTCCCAAATTTGACGAGCCTTCTCCATGTCCATAGCGCCGGCATTTAGTGTCGCTTCCTTGCAGTCCATGAAATACTTGCCAGATACATTGGCCACCTCATCGGAGGTCGCCAGATAAATGGTGGTCTGTGCGCCCGCTTTGGTTGTTTTAAAGAATCCCTTCGTGATGGCCATCATTGGCAGATTCAGGGGGAAGGGCACATTGCGCCAAATGCCCGAGTCAATCATGCCGGGATGCAAGTAGTTAACTGTAACATTGGTGCCCTCCATACGCTTGGCCAGCTCGCGGGCAAAGTAGATGTTGGCAAACTTGGACACATAGTACAAATAGGCAGCGGGAAAGGTGCCAATGGGATTCAGCTTATTTACATTGACGGAGGCCAAACGATACAGCTCCGAGGCAACAATGACAATACGCGCTGGTGCGCTCTTCTTCAGCACATCGATGAGCAAGTGCGTCAGCAAAAATGGGCCATAATGATTGGTGGCCATGGTCAGTTCGACGCCATCCTCACTTGTCTGGCCACGGAATGCGAGTGCCATGCCGGCATTGTGTATCAGTACATCAATCTTTGGCTCAGTCTTAACAATATCGGCAGCGAACTCGCGCACTGATTTCTGAGAGCCCAAATCGAGTTTCTTGACCAAAATTTTCCTATTGTTGGTCTCCTTAATGATTTCATCTGAAAAAAGAGCCATTCTTTTAGAAAATGATATAGATATTAAAGATTGTAAGCTTTACCCTTTACAGCATTTGCTGTTTCCAGATTTCTGCATGCCATAATGATGCGTGCTCCACGTCCAGCTAGATCCTTAGCGGTTTCCTTGCCAATGCCACCGTTGGCTCCCGTAATAATTACAGTTTTTCCCTCCATTTTTGTCTGTAAGTCAGTGGAAAACGTTATTCAGTTTAAATAGAAAATTAAATGGAGTCGTGTTAAATAAGCGGGACTGCAAATTATTTATAAGCCAAATTAGAATCAGCAATTGATGTAATTTGGCTTGTACAAAACGCTATTAATGCTTGTTGTTTTTGCCCTTTTTATTCTCTATGGTCATCTGCGGTGAGCTTAATTGTCGACCCCTGTGAAAACAGTGAGCGTGTAGCTCATAAGCCCAAGCGATTTGTTTTTATTTTATGGGATCGCTCAGTTGTAGTACAAATACCGTAATAGTATCTACTGCTTGGCAGATTCAAAAGATTTGAAAAACTAATAAAGTGTCTACGTCATGGTTGGACGACCGAATAGAGTGAGAGAAAATAGTTTATTATAGGGCTATCCATTCCATAGTACTCGTATTCATTACAGTGTAATAAATGTACAATTGTGTTGCTCGTCGAGCTTGTGACAATTTCAGAGATTCAAGTTGCCAAACGATTCGTTTAGTGGGATAACGGTTTGGTGAAGCTTGGATTGTGATAGGAGCGGGGTAGGAGCGGGGCAGTCACGTTTACCTCAGTGAAACAACGGCCCGCCGTAATGCGCAAATAGAAGCGAATACTCAGCAGGGTGGCCGCAAAAGCCGATGTGAGTGTTATGGCGAAGATATCACGCAAATAATGATCGCTTGGCAACCAAGACAAGAGAAAACCCATCCTATAAATAATTTTGGGCACATTATTAAATGTATATAGATATATATGCAAATTAGTTTATATAAGGCGGCTTTCAGCAGCCACGTTTCGATTGTCTCAAATCGAAACTTGTTTAGCAGCTCAAACTTGAAAATTTGTAATATTCGATTTCTCGGTCAAAAACATTTTGTTTTTTTGTGTTTTTGGTTTTACTGTGCCGAAATTTTCGACATGCAACTCTTGCAAACGTAACCATTAGCTAAAAGATTATAAATCAATACGAAATTGATACTTTCACTTTTCATATATGCAAGATAAATAATAATTATGAAACGATGTTGAAGCGTTGCTCGAGGCCAAAGCAAAGTTCATTGCCGTCGTTACAGGTAGGCAAAAGAAAGCCAGAAAACCAACTGTTTGTTGTCGCCTTGCACCAGCAGCAGCAGCAACAGCGTTTTGATTGTTGCTTCTTTTTCACTGTCCACGTCACTAAAACTTGGCTTACTGGTATACTGGTTACGCTTCTATGGCTCTCTGATTCTCTGCTGCCCAGACCGCCTCGCCCTCGAATGCAACTCTTTTTCAGACTAGAACTGACCCGTTTTCTTTTCTTTTCTTTTGTTTTTTTTTTTTTTGGTTGCAAACTGCTGCGTCAGATATGTAATTTCGCACACTCACCTGGCAAATTGTTGTCTGAATAATGTTCACAAAATAATTGGAATCGCTGTTGATTTGGACTTTGAACGAGCACTAGCTGCTGAAAGATTCACTGCTCAAGACACGACGACTCTATCACAACCTTCGCCTTGAACGCTTGCTCTGAGACTGCTGGCTGCAAAGCGACTCTGTTTTAAAGTCTCGCGATCGTCTCTCGCTGCTCACTGTTATTGTAAATAGCCGCAATAATTGTTGTTATTTATTGTTGGCCTGGTCGGCCGGCGGAACAAGTTAAACTCAAGCTCAGCTTGAATGCAGACGCTGAGAGTTTTGCTTCTTGTTTTCTTTCCTTTCTGTTTGTCTTTCGCTAGTTTAAGAGTCGCAGAGAATGAGAGAGAGAGAAAGCGCAGAAAGCTGCTGAGAATAGAATAAACTTTTCCAGTGATCTGTCCACAATTATTTTATAGGTGTAAATTTGTAAACTTCAACTGAAATACAGTCTGTTATTAGCTGGTATATGTAAAATACTCAAAATCAGTAATGCTAAAGAAATGCTTTCTTTTCGTTTTATGTACGAGTAGTAAAATATTTTTCATTTAAATATTAAAAGCATATTTTTCAATTGTAATCAAAAACAGATCCGATTAAAATTAGAAAACAATAAATTGATTAATTACTTATTAATATCGCAAATAATAGAATAATCAACTTTTGTCGTTTCCAGATTTATATAATAGAATTGTACATAAATACATATTTACATAAAGTGTCAAAGATTTCGCAAACTCGAAACTCCAATTAATGTTTCAACTTATGATGGATATCTATTTGTCTATGGCATTCGCACCTTCGTTGCTTTGATTACGCGGTTTTCCCGGATCACCATCCAAGTGTTTCGTCAATGTGTTGTACCACTCATTCATATGGCGTGAGATGATGCTCATAAACTTGGACACCTTGGACTTAACGGTGGTCACTATCTTATCTGAGAGCGTGACCTTTTTACACGTCGATGCTGGTGCTTTGGTGGCACTGATCTTCATGATTGTAGACTCCTTGGGTGTCGTGGGTGGCGTCATCGTTGGCAAATCCACTTTGTACTCATACATCGAATAGCGTCCCAGCGGCAATAGTTCCTGCTGATCATCCTTGTGGATTACATTAGTGTTAAGCGAGTCGTCGTCATAGCTAAAGGGCAGCGCACGACGAGGTCTCAGTGCCGGCATATCCCACCAGGATGGGATGCCCTTGTTGGGGATCTTCATTTTCAGTCGCTTGGGTGCAGGCACTGGAGCTGGCGCTCTTTCCGTCGTCGTCTTGGCACCGAAGTAATCCTCTTCATTGTCATTGGCATGCAACGTCTGTGCGGAAGGCTTAGCCTTACCTTCCCTCTTCAAGGTGTCCGTCTCGAGCGAGGTTTCCCGCATATTCTCATCGCCCAGTGCGAACTCGTGCTCGTGTTCATTGATGTGGCTAAAAAAGTGTTTGCCGAGTTCGCGTTGCGCCTGCCAAAAGTCGTTGGCCACATTGCCAATCTTAGCTGAGCGCTTCTTATAGCCATCCCCTTCGATTGGCTCTACATCGGGCTCTAATTGCTCTTGAGACTTGCTTGTGGCTTGGTTCTTGGCTTTGGTACCCTTGTTTGAGAAGGGTTCTGGAAAGAGCAGAGAGTTCAATGTGGCGCCCAAATTCAAACGTTTACCACTCTTCTTTGTCGGCGCTGGCAAAGCCGCAATAAATTCCGTGGGCAGCAGACGCAACTTTTCCTTGGATGGCTCTGGCAGATCCTCGTCGCTTTCTTCCTGTGAGCGTTGCACAATTTTAAGCTGCTTTCTAAATGATGGTCGGCGCTTCTTCTTTGGGATCTGCTCAGGTTCCGGCTGCATTTCACTTTCTTCGCCGTCGGGTGTTTCGATGTGCTTCAAATGCACATCGCCCTCGGGCAACCGGCTATATGGTGGTGGTTCCGGCTGCTCACCCATTTTTTTGAAGAACTCCTCTTCGTCAAACTCGGCTAGATCAAAGAGCGGCTTGACCTTGCGCTCCGGCTTGCGAATCTCTGTTATCTTCTTCGTCAACGTTGTCTTTTTGCCGTTGCGATTGTAGAAGAAGGGTCCATCAGAGTCGGATGCACTGCGTCTGCTGCGGCCATTTCGTTGCGACACCTCCCGCGACTGCTCCATTACATTTCTTAGCCAAGCCATTGCCTTACATGGGTGCACCGATAGCGAATTTGACTTGGGCTCTGCATCCACCTGACGCTTGATTGGCGAAACTGCCACTGGCTTCTCTTGGGCCAGACTTAAAGGTTGCAGCAACCTACCGAGCAATGATCCAGGCATTTCCGCCGTATCCGGGTTATCCAAGACAAAGCGACGATTGCGATTGATGGTACTCTGCAGGGATCCTCGCGCCACAGCGGTCTCCTCGATAAGTCGCTGGAGAAGTCGATCTGCTGAGCTGTAGCCGCTAGAACGGCCCTTTTCAGATGAGGCCTCCGAGCTGGCATCTGTTTCATCTGCTTCGATTTCGGAATACTGGCAGTGCTCCAGATCGACGCTGGGCAGCACCCAAAAGCCAACTGACATGCTGGGTGTAATCAACTGTATCGACTTAGTGGCGTCCTTGGACTTGACAAGCGGACGCAGAGTGGAGTTCACCGATAACTTCAGGTTGTTCAAACGAACGCGACCATCCTCGCCAGTTAGGACATATTGCCAGATATCGCTGCTGGACAGACGACTTGTGCTGCGCACTGTTATCGTCAATGGCTGCTCTTCCGTGTTGACCACCATGAATGCTAATCCACCAGACATGGCGTTGGCACAATGTGTGTACAGTTTATTGCTGGGCAAGACGACATTCAAGGGGCGTGCTGGAAACACCCGGGAGCCCATCACCTTCTTAAAAAGTGCAGTCACATAGTAGCTGAAGTTAGGCCGCTCAAAATCCTCGAGAGTCATGCGCTTGAAGACCACATCAAAGCCTCCACTCGCCGCATCTCCCAACGTCTGTGCCCAACGTAGCGCATCCGTTGTCTCATCACCAACAAGTCGCTTGCTTATGGACTGTGACCGAGATCGCTCCTCCGGCAGTGTCAACCACAAGGGCACACGCTGTTGCCGCAACGTCCTCAATGCCGGGTCACTGTCGAAAATATAGCTACCTAAACTGCTGGTGGGCAACATGTTGGCAGGCCTATCGAGTGGAAAATGTAAGATTTTAATAAATAACTACAAAGGACATGTTAAAAAATAAGAAAATACTAGTCGCAATTAATTATCAGCCAGAACGAATTGTAATACAAATATCTTATAATAAGGAAAGTTGATTTTGTGTCGAAATTCATGTAAAAAATCCATCTTAAGATCACATATTTTAAACTAAACGATCGACAAAAGAATTGCATTATTCGTTTTGTAGAGATTTGGATAAATACTCACTGTGTCCAGCCAAAAGCAGCATTCAGGTCCTTGGACATATCCACATATTTGCGTGTTTCCTCAGCGCTGCTACCCGCTGAAATATCGGCTCCCATAACACGCCAGCTATCCACGTAGGGACTGAAGGTGTCCGTCATCAGTTTCAGTGTGGTCAACTCCTGGACATAATCCTTGGCGCGCGATGTGCCAAAGTCGGTGCCCAGCTGCCAAATACAGTCCGTAATGCCAACCATATAGGAGGAGTTTAGTATTTTCAGCGTATGCATTGAGTCCCACTCATCGGGCGCATATGGCACCGGTATAATCATGGTCCAATTCACAGCGCTTATGTTGACAAAAAAAAAAAATAAATAAATAAAAAAAAAAAAAAAAACACAAAAAAGAAAAAATAAAAACATTTTTAACACTTACCTCGTCCAGCGGTTGAAGCCCTTCCATATGATCTTGGTGGGATTGCGTAGGCGTTTTGGGGCATTCGTGGCAAAGTAAAAGTCACCCACAAATTTAACATACGCATCTTCCAGCAGGGCGGCCATGCTTGTTACTGCCTTCCGATTCTTACCATCCAGTGCATCGTACAGATCCTCCGGCCTAACGGCAAAGCTCACAAACTTCTCGCTGACATCGTTATAGGGACGATTCACATGCAGCTGCACTAAGGTGTCCGCTTGGCACACGGCCAACAGTGCCAGTATAAATAAAGCCAATTGTAAATCCATCGTCATATTCTACTTGACCGGAGAACGTTAGCTCAACAACTGCGCAACGCTGGCCAATGGAGACGGGCTAATAAGCTGCAAAACTACTGTATGATATTGTTGTGAAAAAGAGTTTTGAATTCCATAATAACTAAATTCCATGGAAATCTGCTGCAATTGGCAAGAAATTTTCGCTGAGCACTGCCCTCAATGCGATGACCTTTTCATGCATTCAACTGAAATCACGTCGCAATGTGGGCCAAATGACCCAAAGAGGCCAATAATTAAAAAACGAAACACCCGCTTTATTTTGGTATGCTGCATTTTATTAATGGGTACTATATTTGACCCACAAAAGATTACATAAACGCCTCGACTAGTCTTCTTCGTCTGCCATCAATATGGCCTTGAAGCTCAACGGCTCGAAATCATAGCCAGTGCCCGAGTAGAACTTGCTCATAAACTCAACCCAATGCAGACGCAACGTGTGCAGGAATGCTGACAAACCCTCCATCATCACCATGATGGCGATTGTGAAGAACACCCAGATGGCGAAGATTATGAAAACGGCAATGCAGCCAACGTAATTAGTCGTCATCGTCAAGGACTTGGACAGCACCATGGTCCACAAGACTTCCGAAAGCTCTGCAAAAGATGAGGAATACAACAAATATATATGATAAAATTAAGATTATTGTTTTGGAATACATTGAATACAACAAATTTGTATGATAAAATTAAGATTATTGTTTTTTTGAACATGAAACCAATTTTCAACCGATATGATGAAGTATACTGATGCTAAAAAGTTCTTGTCATATTATTAAAAATATATAATCATCATATATGATTAAGTGTCGTTAACATACTAAACATATTAAGACAATGAAAATGTGGACCACCAGTCTAAATTGATCCGTTCAATGCGTGACATATTTGACATTGTTATATTGTTACTTACCCGCGTGCGCCAAGGACAAAGCCCAGAGACGCAGATATGAGGCCGTATGGGAGATCGTACTCAGAATGTACTCAACCGTATGGATGGCCTGGTGTATCCAAATCTCGCCCATTGGCTCTTCCTCTTCCTCTTCGTCCATATGCGATCCCTTACCGTGTCCCTTTTCTACCTCTGTAATAATGACCTCCTTGCCAGAGATTTCAATTGTCTCCATAATGGTGTCGCCAGTGCGTTCAGTCTTGCGCTTCTGCAGAAAAGAGATCGATCATGACTGGACTTATCAAGGAAGAACATAACTTACCCTATATTTGCGAGTACAGATGGTCCAGAGGGGCGTGCCGAGCAGAATCCAAGGAATACATATAATGGCTATAACGAATAGTGTCGTCTCCAGCGTTCTTTGCGAGGGGAACATGGTGGGCATGCAACCGGGGGAGGGAACCTCCTCGTTCATCAGAATCATGTCGATAAACATAATGAGCACAGATGGGGCACAACCGGGTGTATAGGCTATATCGGTTGCGGTGGCCTTGTATTGAAACCACTTGAAAAACATCATGAACACCATGTAGCCGAACAGCATAATGAGGAAAATAACTTGCGGCAAAAACTGTAGGAAAATTAGGGAATACTTCTTAAAGTACACAAAGTTCTCAACGGATAAGCAGACGCCAAAGATCATGTGTAGAACGCCAAAGATAATGGACAGCTTCATTTTGTAAGTGTTCAGGAAGATGATCTTATTAGATGCCGATTGCCAGATTGGATCGATGCCCATGGGATACACGCCACGTTGGTCCGTCGCAGGATTCAACTGGAGTGCAGGATTCGTGAGCACCGTAGTTCGATTGTACTGCAATACCCAATGTGAGCCGAATATATTATACGATTTGGAGAAGCAATCATTATAGTGAAATCCCGTGTAGACAGCAAAAAGTCCCATCAGCATTATAATATAACGTCCACCGAACAGAATCTTCCATATCTCACCAGCCCGCTTCTTGACGAGTCGCTTCTCGTCGACCACCATCCAAAGGCCGAGTAGAAAGACCAAAAATCCGTGACCCATATCCCCAAACATCACGGCAAACAGGAAGGGGAACGATATGCATGTGTAGAGTCCTGGATTTACTTCGCGGTATTTCGCAATACCATAAGCATCAATCAACGTCTGGAAGCCATAGGTAAACTTGTTGGTACGGAAATATGTGGGCGGCTCCTTCCTTGTGTCAAGTATATTGAATATCGTGGGCACTGTGCTACCCAGAGCAAGCGATGCCTCGGACAACACGGCCTCCACCTCCTCAAGATGACGCTGTGGCACCCAGCACTCGCCAATCAAGCACTTGCTGCCCAGGTCCACATTGAACATGTTCAGGGTGAAGTAAATGGCCTTCATTTTCTTGATCATGGCCGACCAGGTGGGCAGCTGCTTCAGAATCGCCTTCAGCACACAGGAGCGATGGTCTTCGGTCTGGCTTATAATAATCTTCAGATCCTCAATGCGCGTGTGCACGCTTTTAATCATATCCACGCGCTCCTGATGCGAACTCGGACAAGGGTACATGGAGGCATGGAAGCCAGTGCACACTTTACGTATACGCGACTGCAGCTGATCGCCCTGGAAGAAGACTACAAAGATGGTCTTGTTGACCATGTCACCCGTACGAGGATCTTTAACGGGTGCCTCCATTTCGCAGCTGCGTATCAGGACATTGCCACGCGAAATGCGCCACATCATTCTCTCAAACGCGAACTGCAATGTTATGCGAAAATTAAATTGCTGGATGGGATTAGTTTGGAAATACTTCGCACCTGTCGCTCTCGGCGAATGACGCCTGCCACAAAGCCCAGACTGCCGTCACATTTCTCCGGATCATTGTGAGTGCCACGCTTGTTCAGATCGAAGTTGTGAGATTCCTGATCGGAGAAGAACTGCTCCGTTCTTTCCAGCACCTGAATCATTTCAGTCAACTCCAAAGCGTTGGTCTGCAAGCGAACATTGTTCGCGGACAGCTCAATGATCTCCGACTCTGTCTTCTCCAGCAGCATCTCCAGTTCGATAATCTCCTTCGGATTAGGTGCGGGCGGAAAGTCCTCGATCAGATCAACTACCTTGAAGCCATCCTTTTGCAGCTCTGAGGTTGTATAACGAATTTTCCGCTCCAACTCATCGCAGCGACGCACCTCGTTGACGAATTTGCGCTGCTGCGCCGTCATGCCCTCGTTCATCTACAAGGACATGTCTATTAAATCCGGCAGGATATTGCATGGTATTAGCTGCAGCCAACTTACATCGCGAAACTGCACACAGCCTAATTCACCCAGCTGTGATATGGTCTCATAGGCTGCCTCTGGCTGCAGAAACATCTGCGCCAAGGACATCTTCTCGCTGCGGAAAATGTTGTCCTCCTGGCCAGTGCCCAACAGCCATCCTTTGATTTTGCTGCACATTTTAAAAGTTTTCTTGAATCTTCCAGTGACACCTCCGCGCACTTTGATGACGCCAGGCGAACTGATCGTTGTGGTCAAGTGACTTTTGCATTGGAGCTTCGGCCACATAGGCTACCCCATTGAAGACTTGCCAACTTTCCAGGCTTATCTTGGTCGCATGCTTCGCATGGATAAACAAGAAGGTGACGAAACGGCCGACTTGTTGCATATTTAGCCATCTATCAACATGATTGAATAGTTCTTATCTATCCAATATTTGATATGGGAGACGCCACCTGACACCCTCGGTATTAAAAACCCATTGGGAGACAATTACAAAACCATTACCAGTAAGCTTGTGTGTACCCAATTTCCGTATTTGAGTTACGTTCTTTCGGTAGTTGTGCACCGTTCTTGAGGCGGAGAAGTTGTCAAATCGGTAGATTGAGGAAAGGTTAAAAATACGTATATACGTTTAATATATCTGCAGCAATAAGTAAGTAATAATAAGCATGATATACATACAGTGTGTTACAGTTCATTTCGGGCAGTGTCTAGCAAAAATTTTAATTGCCTGCCATTAATAAATTATCCAATATTTTTCAAAAATTCCAAAGACCGGTGGCAGGTACATATATTAACCACCATAATGGATATATGACCCCCATAAACTGTGGTTTCCCCGCCGGCTAGGCAGGGTTAAGTAAAAAAGTACCTGAAAATATGGTTACATATTATTTCGGGCAGTGGCATTATGGACACCTGGGTGCCATAAAACCCGGATTTTTTACGCCGGGATGATTATTTTTGGAATAAATAGACCAATCCTTCGTAGTCAGTTTAGTTATATCCTGCATCTCGGGTGCCACCAGCCAACAAGGACTATGGACAAACGGACTACCATTGAGCAACGGAATCTCATCCTGGAACACTTCCAGATTGGATATTCACATCGCCAAATAGCTAAAATGGTAAATCTAAGCACCACAACTGTATTCAACATCATTCGACTCTTCGTCGACGAAAATCGGATAGAGGACAAGGGCAGAAAGGCACCAAACAAGATTTTCACTGACCAGGAAGAGCGGAGGATCATCAGGAAAAAAGGGAAAGTCCCACGCTATCGGCTCCAAAACAGACTCCACAGGTGGAGGATGAAATGGGGCAAAAGTGCAGTGTGGAATCTGTGCGCCGGGTTCTGCGTAACCATAACTTTAATGCCCAAGTACCACGGAATAAGCCCTTTATAAGCGCTAAAAATAAAGGGACTAGGATGGCATTCGTCAAAACCCACTTGGACAAGGATTTGGAGTTCTGGAACAAATTTATATTTGAAGATGAGCCCAAATTCAACATTTTTGGCTCAGACGGACAAAATTATGTGTGGCGACAGTCCGATACTGAGCTGAATCCCAAAATCCTAAAGGCAACAGTCAAGCACGACGGAGGAAGTGTCATGGTATGGGCATGTATCTCGGAAGCCGGCGTGGGAAATTTGGTGATTTTTGAAACAACAATGGACAAGAGTGTGTATTTCAATATATTCAAGGAAAATTTACTCCAAAGTGCCAAGAAGCTAGGAATCCGACGTACTTTCCGGTTCTACCACGACAACGACGAGGACAAAAGCCAAGCATAAGTCCGGATTAGTACAGTCCTGGCATATCTGGAACTGCCCCCACATGATAATTCCACAGGTCCAGCCTCCAGACTTAAATGTTATTTAAAATTTGTGGGCTCTGCTGGAAAATAACATCCGGAATCACAGATCCGATCTCAAGAATGCTCTGCTGGATGAGTGGAGCAAAATCAGTCCAGAAACGACCCGGAAGCTGGTATCTTCCATGAATAATAGGTTAAGGGACTTTATTAGGGCTAAAGGATATCATACTAAGTATTAACATCCTTATTTAAGTTTTTATACGCCTAATATGTTACTTTTCCAAGACTGTTCCAAAAAAACTGTAACATGTATTTTGGATATGTTTTAAGTTTTGACTAATTTTAATTAATTAATTAATATTTTAATAAAAACTGAAGCTTCCTTTTCAAACGTGATATAACATAAAACAAATTGGCATTTAAATATTTTGCATTTGTTTCTTTGTTTAAACTTTATAGCACTTTAAAATTTGTTCTAGACACTGCCCGAAATGAACTGTAAGCCACTGTATATGTATAAAATATACCCATATCTTGTCATTAAAGAACAATTTTAGGCTCAAAATATATTCAATAATGAAACTGATAAAATCAAAATATATTTTTAGGATAAGCAATGAAAATTATGGTGCAATCAACAATTTAGAAGTATACTTTTAGGATGCAATTTTAGGAGAAAATCAAAATAATAACATATATTTTTAGGGTGAACAATTAAAAATATGGAACGATTAAAAGTTCAGAAGCATACTTTCAAGATTGATCGTATTTCTAGGACAATTTAAGAAAAAGAATTGTTCTAATTCGGCGAAATGCTTTGATATTTTATATGGATATGGTGCATTAGAATAGCAGGGAGCAACTCTGCTAAGCTGCATTCAAGGATTATGGGTTCATCTAAGAAACTGGAGTCGAAATCGCAAAATCCTTTTTTTCTCAGAAACTACAAAGACGATTTGGATAGCTTTTGACCAGGTTTTTAATTCAGCCGTTTGAACTTAACTTTTATATCCGTGCAGATCACATGGACCACTTCCCCTACGCTTTTGGAGGTATAAGAAAAACATCCATTTTCTGCTCTCTTCTTGCTTTATTTTATCAAGTACAATATTTGCTTAAAATTTATATCAAGGATATCCCAAGTCTCACAAACATCCCTACGATAAATTTTAAACAGACAGTTATAAAACTGACTTTTAATTAAAAAATTATTTGTAACGAATATCAAATTATTGCTTGGAAACGATTTATGCGAATACATATCGAATAAGACGCAAGTATTTCAACAACGGATGGAATACAATGTATGAAGGTAAATGTGGGAAGAGCACCACAATACTGACAGTATTGAGAAAACAAAAATACATAATTAACAAAACGGAAAAACATAATAAACGAGCTGATACAAATAAGTTGATTACTTATATATTTTGTGGGGTCGTGGAAATTATCCTTCCTCTTCTTCGCCATCAATGATTGACTTGAAGCTGAAGGGCTGGAAGACATAGCCCATACCCTCGTAGAACTTGCTCATGAACTCCACCCAGTGCAGACGCAGCGTGTGCAGGAAGGCGGACAGACCCTCCATCATGACCAAAATTGCCAGAGTGAACAAGCACCATGCGCCGAAAATGACGTACAGTGCAATGGCGCCGGTATAGGGAGACATCTTAAGACCCAGCGACAGCACCATGTTCCACAACACCTCGGACAGTTCTGCGAGCAGCAAGAAACGAGCACATTACAATCAAGTTTCAAAATAACAATTTACAGATTTACTTACGAGCATGAGCCAAGGACAGAGCCCACAATCGCAGATACGAAGCTGTATGCGAGATGGTACTGAGTACATATTCGATGGTGTGAATGCCTTGATGAATGTAAATTTCGCTCATGGGTTCATCGTCATGGCCGTGAGCACCACCTGCACCTTCCTCGTTTTCAGAAGATCCAGTGGGCAATGGCGTCTCTCCCTCGGCCAGTTCCATGTTGCCTGTCAACTCGCCATTGTGCTTGACCTGCCCAAGAATTGAACATCAATAAAAAATAATAAAAATCTACTTTAAGCAAAGAACATATGACGACGACTTACATGTGCGACAGTCTTGCGACGAGTGGCTAAAATATACAGCGGCTTGCCCAGCAGCATCCAAGGAATGCAAATTAGACCAATGATGACAAAGGTCTTTTGTAGCTCAGGCTGCGATTCGAACATGTACTCATTACAATTAGGAAATGGCGGCGTTCTCTTAAACAACATCATATTGATGAACATGATTAGCACGGATGGAGCACATGCAGGTGTATCGGGCGTGAAATCGGTGTAAGGATTGTATTTGAACCATTTGAAGAACCTGCAATTAACGAATACAAATATGGGATAATAGATAAGATATTAAGCGGCCTTATATGATGATAGCTTACATCATGAACACCATGTAGCCGAAGAGCAGCAGCAGGAACAGGACTTGTGGCACAAACTCCAAGAATATGGATGAGTAGCGCTTGAAATGTACAAAGTTGCAGACGGACATGCAAACACCAAAGATCATGTGCAGCACACCGACAATGATGGACAGCTTCATCTTAAAACTGTTGAGAAAGATGATCTTGTTGTCGGCCAGCTGCCAGACGGGATCCAAGCCAAGAGGGTAGACACCTATGGCGGTTGTATTTGGATCCAACTGTAGATGTTCATTGGCAAGAACGGTGGAAGTGTTGTATTGATTTTTCCAATTAGAGCCAAATATATTCATGGACTTTGAGAAGACATCGTTATAGATGAAGCCCGTGTAGCATGAGAACAGACCCATAAGCAGAATGATGTAGCGGCCGCCAAAGAAGATGTTCCAGATCTCACCACCATTCTTGATGCGCGCCAATTTCTGCTCGCTGACCACCATCCAGCCGCCGAACAACAACAGGATCAGACCATGGCCCAAATCGCCGAACATTACGGCGAAGAGGAAGGGGAATGTAATGCAAGTATATAATGCCGGATTGCACTCGCGATACGAGGCAATGCCATAGGAGTCGATCAGGTTCTGGAAGCCGCGTGTGAACTTGTTGGTCCGATTGAAGGTTGGCGGCATTTCGTTCGTATCGATGACGTTAATGAATGACGGAATTGTGCTGCCGACAGCAGCGGAGCCATCGGACAATGCCTTCTGCACAATAGGCAGATCCTTGGTGGGCACCCAGCATTCGCCGATGAGGCACTTCTTGGTCACATCCATGTTGAACAGATTGAGCGTATGATAGATGGCTTTCATCTTCTTGACCATGATCGACCACGAGGGCAAATTCTTGGAGACAGTGGCCAGCACACGACTACGATGATCCTCGGTCTGGCTGAGCACCAGCTTCAGATCCTCAAGGCGTGTGCGCACATTCTTGACCATCTCCTCACGCTCATTGTGCGAACTGGGGCACGGATAGAGCGAAGCGTGGAAGCCGGTGCAGACTTTCTTGATGCGATTCTTCAGCTGCTCGCCCTGGAAGAAGGCCACAAAGACGGTCTTATAGATGGGATGGCCAGTGGCTGGATCGTTCAGGGGTTCATCCAAGTCGGAGCGTCTGAGGAACACATTGCCACGCGAGATGCGCCACAGCATGCGCTCAAAGGCAAAGACACGCTCGCGATTGATAACACCTGCCACGAATCCCAGGCGTCCACGATGCTGAGCAGTGGCCTCATCGATGACACCGCCGGGGCGATTGGTTGAGTCCAGATTGAGCACCTCCTGGTCGGAGAAGAAGCCCTGTGTGTTCTCCAACACCTTGCGCAGCTCCGTCAATTCCATATAATTGGACTTCATGTTCACCTCGTTCTGTGCGAGCTCAATCATTTCCGTTTCGGTCTTTTCCAGATGCGCCTCCAGATCGATGATCTCGCGTGGATTGGGCGCACGCGGAATGTCATCCTGGATATCGGGCAGCGCAATGCCGTCCTTCTTAATCTCCGTCTCGATGTAGCGTATCTTGCGCTCCAGCTCATCGCAGCGACGCACCTCCGTCACGAACTTACGTTGGAAGGCGTTCACATTGCTGTTCAGCTGTGTGGAGGAATGCCCATAAGGGATATTAACGATGACGACGACTTTCACTATTGAATTTAGTCAGTTTTGTGGACACACTTACATCGCGAAATTGCACACAGCCGGTTTCGCCCAGCTCCGAGACAGAGGTGTATGCGGCCTCTGGTTGTATAAACACCTGGCATAATGCCATTTGCTCACTGCGGAACATATCCCCCATCTTGGCGACTCTTCACGTTCCCGCTCCCTGCAAGAAAGACAGAAAGAAAGCATACATATATAGTGGGGGATTAGTTGGAACATTCCGCAGACATGCAATTAAAATTCAAAAAAATAAGAAAAACTCAACTGCCACAGAACGAAGACGTCGTCGCCTGGCAAGTGATTTGAATTGGTTTTGTTATTTGTTTGTGTTTTGACCCAACCACGACAGCCAACGGCTTCTTTTGTCTAGCATATCGTATACGATATATACGATATATCTGTCTATATCTACATATGTAAACATATGTGCATATATAAATCTACAGAGAAGCATATGTTGCATGTGTCGCCTTGCCAGCCATCACATTTAGTCAGCCATTTTTGTTGGCGCCGCTGTTTTCGAAAAGCAAATCTGTTTTGTATTTATCTGCACAGAATTACTGATTCAAGTATTAATTCTTCTCTCAATTTGTTTATCAATCTTCTATCTTTCTTTTATTTTTTTGTAGTGGAATATGTTGTAAAGGAATTACGGCTGTCCCTTGAAAATTAGAAAGATTTGGTTCTAGAGTTCATTATTATTTCTGGAGGTGTAATTCTAAGATTAAAAAAAAAAACATTGTCAAATGCACTAAAATTTCATACTCAATGCGCTTAACTTTGAGTTTAAACTCAATATTTTATATATATAAACAGAAATGTTAGATTTTATACGCAAAGCAGAGCGTATATTTCTGAGCAATTGTGTAAAATGTGTATACAAAGGTAGATTTACGATAATATTCTAAGAAAACCAAACATTTTCAGTATATATTTCCTTGCTTTATTAACTTGGAAACTATGAGCCACATGTTTCCTATTTTTGAAATGAATTTTACAGAATAGAATTATGGAAATGTGTATTGTATATATACAATTATGGGTTACATTACACTGAAAATCTCGAAACTTACCACGCCAATGTAATAATTCAAGGCGCACTCAGAGGGGAAGCACAGGTAGAGTTAATTAAACAAATTGACTGACAATTGTGACAAAACATAAGAGTACATGTTATGGCTAAGCCTTGTCAAAATCGAAGGCACTTAGCTAATGCGTATGATGAATGTTTTTGATTTAATTAAAGCGCGAAAATCAAACCTGCTCGCACTGCACTCGAGGCGCCTGTTGGGAGTGGAAATGTGGGTGGTGTCTGTTTTAGCTGAATAAAGAACTATATATATATATATATATTTATATATATGTACATGGAATTGTAAACACAGACAGACGGGGACGCGCCAAGGTTCATTGTGACATCATCAGTCTCGAAACAGTCAACGACACGGGACACGGGACGAGAGCCCGACACGTCGCCCATTATCGAACTTTAATGGCCTGGCCAGGAATTAGCTTTAGCTATACACACACACACACATACACGCGCGCGCATGCAAATTTGTGTACACGTATATAGACATCGGAATGAATGATAAATGTTCATGTGTACACACATATGTATATATGCTGAATACATTTAACTAGTTGTGAACTTGTGTCTTCTTTTGTTGTTTTATGTGTGCATAAAGTTTACGCCGCCGCTCTTGGCTGGTGGCCAAAAACATAGCAAACCGAAGCAGATACCGCGGCGAGGACCAATATGCTAATCAAGCTATACACACACACATACATATGTAGCATATATACCCACATACATGCATATATATGGAAGCCCTTTTAAATTGGAACACAATTGCCACTGCCGACTTCTTTATCGCGCCTGTTGCTCACAATGCCCACATAATGATTGCCGTAGTGCTGAGTGTTTATTTTTTTATTTGTCACCCGATTTGACTGAACCGTTTGGTTTTTTACAGTTTTTAGTTTATCTGAAGCACGTCTATATATAGAGCGGTGCAGTAAAATAATACAAGTTTTATGAGCATTGCACTATTATCGTTGACTTTATTTAGTTGGTGATTTCATTAGGAACAGTTTGTTTCTTTCAAGTTGATACGCTCTGCAAATAAGAGTGTCCATTTATTTACTTATTCATTAATCAATATTTGACAGTGGATTTTTCTGTACTAGAGCTAAGGCTTGTCATTTTATCAGACTGTAAGTCAATATAAGCAATGAAATAAAAATAAAATACACTTCACTCTATCGCTTACTTATAAATTACACATTTATTGTATATATTTAAAAGTGTGTATGTATTCTAATATGAGACATGAATCAATAAGGGACAATACTCATAAATTATTAACAAGTATTTTGCTAGTTAATATCACCATCAACTTGTTGAAGTTAAGCAACACTGCATATTTTTGCATGCATGTGCGAATTCTTTTAGTCAGCACTGCCAGCAAGTCTAAAAGCAACACCAACAAACACACACATACACACACTGACTCACAGTGGCATATCGTTTTTAATGAAGCTGCAATTAATTTGAAACGTTTCCAGGCTGAGCTGCAAACACGATATGCATTTTCAAGTCAATAAATAAAAACTGAACACACACATCTGCACAAACAGCCGACGTTGCATTGCTTGTATGTTTGTATGCGAGTATTGTATTTCGATACTAACCACAAAAAAAATACAAATACAAATAGTTTTCAGTTTCCAAACACGAACAAAAAACAAACGCCGGACCAACTGCAAACCAGTTCAACTTCAAAACAACTAAACTAAAACACACCGTTGCCGTCGCTCTCTGTCGCCTGCCTGCCAGCGAGGGGCTTTTGCCGTTTGCTTTTCGCTGGTCATTTTCGTTAACAAGTCTGACTGGACGTGGAATGTGTGGGAGTTGTTTTTGGTCTCTGTGTCTCTCTATTTGCCTTTGCAATAATACATACGCATATAGAATATATACGCGTGTGTGTGTGTGTGCCTACACGCAAGAAGCGGGTGAGTCTTAATTACATTTTAACGAAGCCAACAACTCGTGTTTAACGCCAATGACTTTGACGTCCCCCATTCACGCACGCATATGCTAGTCGCAGTTAATATCGCTACGGCAACAACAGAGTTTCGTTAAAACTTTTTTATGATTTGTTTTGTTTTTGCTTCTACTTCTCTCACGTGCTCTCGCGCTCGCTCTCTTGTGCGCTCACTGGAATACATGTGTGTATGCGTGCGAAGTTTTATTTGACTATACGTTTTTTTTTTTGCTATTTCCTGCTGGTTTGTCATTCTTCATAACTACCGTTGGAGAGATCACTTTCGTATGCTTGCATTAAAATTTAAAAACTGACTATAGTCTGTGCAAGTGATAAGAAAACATGATAAGGTAGGTAAAAAATTAAGAGACTTATTGAACTGACACATAAGCCCCGCCCCGGCGTTGATAACTGTAGCTGCAAAGTTACATAAGTGGGACCTACAACTACTCGAGTGCTTGGCAAGCGTTTAATCCGCTAAAAAAAATATTCTAATACCTACTTCAAATATCTAGAGTCTAGACTTTAAGAGGCTTTCACACACACAAAAATTATATACAAAACGAACCGGAATTTTTCTAATCAAAATTTGATTGATTGAGGTGCTCGTGAAAATTTTATGATCTCCACTCATAAATCACAATTCAATTGAAATTTATTGATATTCCCTTACCAATTAATAGCTACTTAACACTATTAAGGAGAAATAAAAAAGACTGAACGAGCTTTCCCAAGGGTGTAGCCCCCAGGCTACGCTCTTGCTTAATGCAAAGATGTTCTGAGAGATGTAAGAAGAGCAGATCACATGATGTGCGAGTTGCATAAAACTCAGCTCAACTCGACGTAACTCGAGAGACAGAGATACACAGATACACAAACACAACGATCTATATATGTAGATACTCTCTGTCTCTCTCCCGCCACCAGCGGGCGTCGTCAGCTGGTTATTTGTCAATAGTCTTATGATCGCTTAACTGGAGGCTGTTCAGCGGAATCACGTGTGCTGAATTTTCATAATTGTACAGAAAAAATGTCTCCTTATTCGTATAGTTTATTTATTTGCAAGCAGCAGATCACCTTGAAGTCAAACACATACATACATATACATATAAATATATATAATTATTTTGAACTGTCGCTTTTATCTAAGTTTATTGCTTTGTTTCTACATTTTTCGCTTGTTTGTTTTTCTATTTCTCTTGCTTACCTTGTTTCAGTCGGATTTTTACACAATAAACTTTAAAGACTCGACAAGCGTACGTGCGGTAAATTTAGAACTTGTTTTGCCCGTAGTTGCGCCTGTGTAGAATATAAGAATGAAATGATCTCGACGGAGCCACAAAAAGCACACACGTCTGGCCAACACCAGCGTTCACTTGCTTGTGATGTTAAGCATTTAACTGATGCAAGCGGCAAGCCAAACGGGACTGCTCTCTTACTCTCTCGCTCTCTCAGCCGCGAAGCGTGCTAAATATGCATATGCGTAGGCTTGTGTGTGTGTAGCATGTACAATGTGTGTGATCAATTTTTTTCTCTTATCACAAATCGAAATACAAAAGTCCAAGCCCCCAAGTGCTCTGTATATATATTTTAAATATATATATGTATATATATACGACGGTTTTCAAAAGACACTATCAATTATAATTAACAATGCTTCAAAATAGTAATTCCCTGGATTTGATAAGCCAGTTGATATTGATTACGTTTTGTTTGGATTCTGTCAGCAATTTATAAGTGCGCTAAAATTATAGTCGCTCCCAAAATAAATGCTGGTCTTGGCAACAAAATACGTTAGTTTTAAACATTTAGCATACAAATACATTTATGTATATGTACCAGGGCTGGCCTATGAATCAGCTGTGGAGGTGGTATGCCGATAACTTACGCTGGCTAATCGATTAGTTTTATTTTTTGTTTACAGCTGTTCAATTAAAGAACAAAAGAGATTTTTTTTTAGCTTATTTAGAAAAGTTTGAAGCCTTAACATGTCCTACGGAGGATATACTCAACTGCCCAGCGGCAGCATCGATCATGAGCACCGCCAGCAACAGGTTGTGGCCAACACATACGATGTGCTCCAGCGCACGAGTGAAAGTATTCAGCGATCACAGCAAGTCGCAATTGAGACTGAAACCATTGGAACCGGGGTAAATACTGAATGCTTTTGACTTTATCATCATCATAACTAATTTTCATGCAAATTCAATGCAGGTACTCGGCGAACTGGGGGAGCAACGGGAATCGTTGTTGCGCACCACACGGCGACTGGAAGACGCCGATCAGGAATTGTCGAAATCGCGGATTATCATACGCAAGCTCAGCCGTGAAGTGCTCTACAACAAGATTGTTTTGATCTTAATCATTATACTGGAGGTGGCCATCCTCATTGGCCTCCTAGTGCTGAAGTTTGCACATCTGTAAATTCCAAAGATATCCTGTATTTGTATTGAATATGGACTTTTATTTAGTATATCTCTGTTTTGCATCTAACAATTCTAGGTTAAGAACATGCCTCAGACATGTAGGATATTGTGTTGTAAATGGTACATATATATAATCGATATTAATAAAACACAGCTAAAAATTATGGAGATTCTCTCAGCCCCTTATCTACACACACATGTAGTAATAACAATCATAATATAGTCGTATATATATATATATATGCATTTCGGGATTATTTGGCATGAGGCAAATTGCATGCTATGGATAAAGAACGAAATACTTGATATACAATGGTTATTTGCTTTTTAAGTAAATACACGCGTTTTAATTGTGATGGTGAATCAACAAAGCGCTGATAATGTTTTCGAGAGATATTCGCTTTTATGTGCAGCATGGGAGCATCTTATTGTTTTTTTCTTGACTGCATAGCAGCTCGACGTTTGAGTAATTTTCAATTATCCTTTGGCAGCACGATGGACCAGCCAAAGACGCGTCGATCAAAGCCGCAGGAGAATAGGTCACAATTCAGGAGTGGCTCCTCCGCCCAGGCGACCGATGAAACCATGCGACGATGTCCCTGGCGACTCGTACGCGGCAAACGCGCCACCCGCTGTCCATTCAAATCGAACAGGCGAATCTGTCGGTTGTCGTGCGGTATGGCAATAATGCCTCCACTCGACACGGCCAGGCGATTAACAGATGAATCGGTCCGGATAGTGGCCAGGGCTGAGCGCATGTTGCGTAATTCCCACACTTTGATGGTGCGATCATCTGAGCCTGAGACGACCTTATCGTCGCGTGCAAAGACGCTGGAGGTCACAGTTTCTGTATGTCCCTGGAAGACGGACACGGCAGGTATCGAATCGCGGAAGTCCCACAAGCGGAAGGTGGTGTCTCGGGAAGCGGTCACAACTAGACGCTGCGCTGGATGTGCGGATACATGCGTGAGCTCATGATCGTGGCCGGTCAGCGGTTGCAGCGGCTGTGCCGTCTCCACATCCCAAAGGATCGCAGTGCGATCCCAACTGCCGGTGATAATCTGATCCATGCTCGACAGCCAATCGGCAGCGACCACAACAGAGAGATGGCCACCCGGGCCAGTGAACTCACAAAGAGGCGTGCGCAACGTGTCCACACGATCGCGATCCTCCAACTGGCCGTCGCTGTCATCGAGCTCCTCCTCGGAAGAGTGCCCCTTCCTAAAAAAAAAGGATTTCAATTAATGATTTATTATAATTTTGGTGTTTTTTTTTTTTGTGTCTCACTTGGCCACCTCCCAGTTGACTGCCGCCTGCCAGATGTGTGCGGTGCCATCGCCACTGCCCGTCAGCACTAGATCTCGATGCTGATGGAACTTGATGGAGTTTACGGAACCAACGTGTCCTTGATACTGCAACAGGCAGCGTGCACTCTCTATGCCCCAAATGCAAGCGGTATGATCAGCGGATGCTGTACCAATAATTGGTTGGCCCGTCTTGGCGGCCACCTGCCATATGCCATCCTTGTGACCGCCAAATTCACGTACCACCGTACTGACCACCGTCTGGGCCTTGAAGCTGGACACAATGCGACTGGTCTGCGCCTTAATTTTGTTGCTCGCCTTCACTTTGCTGCCGGTGGCGCTGCTCAGCTTCGCTTTGAGACTCTTGTGGGTGCTGGAGGCGGCTGCCAGCAGGCTAGCACCGATTTCGTCGCCAGCCCCCAACGGTGCCAATGGCGTTGCCGGTGTGGCTGCCAAGGAGGCGCCACCACTGCCGGATAGGACGACGTTGCTAGCAACGCCAGCCGCTGCCGAGCGTTGTGTGTCATGTGGAGTGAGCGAGTCTTTGCTATTGGCGATGGCATTTTCCAGCTTATCTTGCACTACATCGCATAAAAAAGGCAAATAAAAGTTGTTTTTTTTATACAATTTTCACAGTTTTCTACTTACGATTTTGGTTTTCCAAGTAGAGTTGATCGAACTCCTTTTCGATCTGGGCGAAGAGGTAGTGGAGGCGGGCACGATAGGATGCATCCTCCGGTATTATGTCCTCGGTGAGACTTGTTAGCCGTGATTTGTTGCCTGTTGTTGTTGCTGTTGTTGTCGACTTCATTCTGATGTTGTTGTTGTTGTGTTTTTGTTGTGCTTCGTGTGTATTTATTACTTCTCGTCTGGCAATTTATTTCTGACTACCGCGACCGTGCGTTTCCCGTCACCAGTGTTCTGGTAAACAATCCAATTAGTGTCCACTTTTAATAGCAGCTAGTCGACCTTTATTGATTAAATCCCATTATAAGTATCTGTTTCTGTTCTGCATGCATATTTTTCTACCTTTTTCTATTTTTTTGTTTTGCAGTGTTGCAAAGCATTTGTTTGCGAAATGCAATCTTTTACCACACTTCGAAAAACAGCTGATTGAAAACATTAGGTAAAATCCAGCTGACTTTATTAACCGATATGTATGGCAGATCTGTCACAAAACACCCAGTTACTGTATTAATCTGTATTTTTGTGAATTGAAATAATATTACAACAGGTTAATAGAATTTAAATTTGTTAAATTGGTTTCCTTAAGCATGGTCGCAGCCAAAATATTAAACTTTTAAATTTACTACACATTTATGTCGCGTTCTTACATATTTGTTGCCAGAGTACAGCAAGAAAATAAACAAATAAGGTATGCTGAAGTTCAGCTGATATACGTATACCAGAAAAATAGAACACGCATAAGGGTTAAAGTTTGTATTTATGTGGCATTCTTGGACACATAGCTTACGCTGACTGACACAACAAAAAAACATTAAAAAGAATAAACTGCAAAACTCTTAGTAAGCATTCACAGATATTCCACAAATCACCTAAGATGCGCAAAACATGGGTAAAACGCGAGAATATTTACTTCAAGCCATTCTACAAGGACAAATCAAAAATGTTTATGCTGTTAATATTTTTGGTTGGAATCTCTTTCATTGTCTATCAGGTTTGTAAACAAATCCATGGCTTCTGTGCGTTAATAAATAAATATAAAATTATGTTTGTGTTTAAATAAATAATAGGCCTTCTCGTTGAATCAGCTGCCCAGCGTGCAGCAGTTGAGACGCAAGCACAAACAAATGATGCAGTCCCTGGGGAGCAAACAGCTTGATGTGGATGACTTTGCCGGAGGAGGCAACGCAGCAGTTGCCGGAGGCGGGGCCGATTATGCTGTGCCCGCAACCCAAGATGCCGACTCGATTAAGATAATACGGTACGGAATACAACAAAAACATTTTATTTATGTGAACACAATAATATTGGCCACGTTAACTATATTTAGGGGCATACGTCTATTTGACTATGATTCATACAAGCCAAATTATAAAGGTATGTTTAAGTGCCTGGATGGTAGCAAAGAGATTCCATTCAAGTATCTCAACGACAACTACTGTGACTGTGATGGCGATGGCAGCGATGAGCCAAGCACAAATGCCTGCGCCATTGGGCGCTTCTATTGCAAATACCAAAAAAGACATATCACGGGTCGTGGCTTGGATGTCTGGGTTTGGACGTCGCGGGTGAACGACAACGTTTGTGATTGCTGCGATGGCAGCGACGAGTGGACGACTAATGTCAAGTGCCAAAATAGGTGTGCGTAGTTTTGGGATTAGCAAACTTGGCAGATCTCCAATATGGACTATATAGATACCGATATATCTATCTCAATCGCATCTCAAAGATTAAACCATTCGATTTAGATAGTAAGCCGCATCACAGGACATATTTTTTGTAGAAATTTTTTTGTAATAATACTGTAATTTATTAATATGAAAACAACAAAAGATAGGAATTAAATTTAAGTAGATTAATTAGATCGAATAAAAATACGTAAGCAACGCGAATTTGACACTCTGTGTAAAGAAGAAACATGCGAAAGTTTTTGTCAAATATTGAAAAACAAAAGAAACTGAAAGCATATATATAAAATTGTACACCTTGTTCCAGAAATAAGTCGGAACATATAACTTGTTAATGCACAGTTTGCTGGTCAAGTTTTAACCCCCCCATTTTAAGCTGATAACCGCACGCCGGATTATGCTTAATTTCTTTTATTACTACATTTGCATAAATCAGAAGAATGTTTTACATAGAACCCTATTTTCTAATGACAACATTATCATTTAATGTCTTCAAATTTGGTTTAAAATTCGCAGCATATATATATATATTTTGTTTTTAAGCTTTACTGACAATTTTTAACTGCAAATTTTACAAAGGTACGAAATGGTTGTTATTCGATTATAAGCAATAATATAAGTATTAAATCACTTTGCACGTATGTATTTCTTTGAAACATACGATAAGTTTAGTCTGCTGTCTGCTGCATTTATCTGTTTTATAAGTGATGATAGGTGTGGATTTAGTGGTTGTATTAAGGAACGTGTTTGTAATGTAAAATTTGTCATTGTTTTTTTTTTTATTATTTTCATTGAGATGGGCTACTTAGAATTTCGCAGTACATGATGAACTACGTACACAATACATAGAGCAAAAATAGTTTTTGTAATCTTACAAAATTCATTAAATAAAGTACAATAAAGGCATTACTATAAGGGGTTTCCTTTTGTTTTTGTAAGCTTAAATGTTGTAAGTTTTGGAGCTTAAATTATGCTTACTTAACGCTAAGTAATACTTAATCAGAGTTTTTGTTTTGCTTTCTATATTGAATATTGTTTGGATACTTGCGGCTCTATGTTTGTGTGGATAAATTGTTAGTTTGATATAAATTCTTTGATCGAAACGTTCCTATTAACGTCGGTAGATCAATTTACGCGTATACATTTTAAATAGATGGAAGTTAAAAGATTACATAGGCAAAACTAAAAAAAAAAAAATGTTATGTATTATTGCACTGATGAGATTTTTTGCTTTAGATTTAGCCAATCAAAGATAGTTTAAAGATGGGATATGTATATAAGGACAACAAAATAAAATAAATAAATAGTCTGGACGTCAAAATATAAATTAATGAAAAATATACAATTAGAATCTGTTTCAGCACAATTGACACGACTTTTGAACCTAAACCTTAGCTTTACATAGAATATGTATAAAAAGAGAGTTGAGTAGGGGAGCTTAAGCTACTCTTAAACAAAATACGGTTGCATAAAATGTATGTATAAGTAATTTATAATTAGGTGTACAAGTCTAACGGCAAAGCGTATAATACAATTTTTGCAGTTTGCGTTTCGAGCGACAGTGATGATGGTTGTGTGATTGATTTGGCTCGTGGTGATGGTGATGGTGGTGGTGGCGATGGTGATGTCTGTGAGTGTGCTTGTGTGAATTTGAATGTGAATGGTTGGTTGTTGGTTCCGGCGGTTGCTGTGGTTCCTCCAAGTTCTGCTGTTGCTCATGGTGAGGTGGTGTTAAACTGTCTTGTTGATGTTGCTGCTGTTGCTGTTGTGGTTGCTGCCGTTCTGGTTGTTGCTGTTCTGGTTGCTGCTGTTCTTCTGGTTGTTGCATATGGCTTTGATGATTATTATTTACAAGGCTCGCCGTTGCAGCCGCAGCCGAGGTCGATGCATCAGTAAGGGCCACCGCTGATGATATCAATAATGCGGCCAAGCGAGATGAATCCGACGTCGATGCGGCCACATCTGTGGAAAGGAGCAGTTTTTGCCTCTGGCGCAACTGCTGCAGCTGCAATCGCTTAGCTGCGGCGGCGCCTTTGCGCATCGCATGCAAACGCCGCCTGTGATGATGGGGATGCAATTGAAGCTGTCACTTTGCCTCCTCGCTGGCATCCAGCAGACTGTTGCTAATACTGCCAGCGCCATTGTTGGTAGCCACAATGGGCAGCTCATTGCCAGCCGGCTGCTGCAGTTGCTGCTGTTGATTGAGTGAATGGACATGCTGGCAGAAGGCTTGCAGCACTTCAAAGTGCGTCATCAGATTCGCCGGCTGGTTATCGTAGTGCAGATGTCGTGTAATTGGCGCATTCAAACGCCGCAACATTTCCGTGAAAAGCTTCTCCTCCTTGCGTATCCAGGGCCGCCGATCATCCTGCACTTGATACGGTGTGAGGTGCACATGTATGTTCATGCCTAAACAAATAGATTAAAACAATTAATATGAATAACAAATAAAAATAATTGAAATTAAGAGAACGCACCCATTCGCGTGAGCGTCTCGAGCAAACTTCGTGATGTTATCCATGTGTTCTTCTGGCCACCGTGCCCGCCGTCCAACCAGTACATATCTGTTATGCGCGAGAGCAACCGGCACATGCTGCTGTCGTCCGGCGTCAGCGTTTTCAGATAATGAAACTCATAGATAAACTGCAAGAAAAGAACAAAATGCACATATGACACATTTTAGATACAAAACCCTGCTGACGGCAGACGAGCAGTGAGCCAAAAATGTTGTTAGCGATTTTTACACCAAATGTGACTCACTTGATTGAGCACGACGCAGCCCTTGCTAAAGCCAATCAGCACCAGTTTGGACTTGTCCAGATTGAGATTCTCGCGCCACCACAACGGATTGTTCTCGGATGTGGGCGTTGTCGGTCGCGGCTGCAGCGGTTGCGTTTGCAATGACGACTGCAACGCAGCACAATCGATGCTACTGTTTATATTGTTGTAGTGTTCCACATTGTTCGCTGGCGCTGATACTGTTGCCTTTGCGGCTATTTGCTGCTGCAGTTGATTGTTCAGCTCCTGATGGCTATTAGTGGTTGCGTCTTTGTTGTTGCCATTGTTCACGGTGTCGGCAGCAGGTGTTGTGTTATTTGTGGTTGTACCCGTTGCCGTGAGGCCAGCGGAGATTATGGGAAAGATCACTGCACCATCTGCATCAACTGTAACATTCTCCTGCACCTGCAATATATCTATATCCATCTCCTGACTGCTGTCATTTACCGCCGCTGAGGATGGGCCAGTGTCTGAGTTAACCGTGGCATTGGAGAGCGTTAACGCTGCGGCGGCTGCAGCAGCCGCAACGGCAGCAGCTGCTGCCGCTGCCTGTGCCGCCTGATCAAGTATTTCATTCTCGGGTATGGAGATCAGGCGTTGCGATAGATTCTGTAGCAGTCTATATAGGCGATCAAATTTTGAGTTAATTTGTGAAAAACACATATTAGAAACGTTCATTGATTCAACTTACTTTTCTAAATGTTGCAGCGCATGGTTCATAGGCGTGTGATCTGGCACACCAGCGTTATTACCACGCACGAAATTGTCGAAGCAGCTGAAGGTCTTGAATTCCATGCTAAGTAAATAAAAACAAAACATCAAAATAACAATGTAATTTCATATTGAATGGGTTACTTACCGAACCGGCCGTATGACTATAATGTGGGATCGCGGAAAGGCTTCACGCAGCAGTATCGCAGAGTTCTCTAGATTGTATTTCATGTAGCCGCGACTGTCTCTGTTCGTTTCCATGCTCTCCGGAAAGTCCTGCACATCGCCACCAAAATAAATGATCGCCTTCGAGTCGTCAACATGCTGGGACTGTTGCCGCACTATTGGCGGACAATAGACAATATCGTTGGCGCGATTCTGGAATCCGGCCACGGAGAAAATTCGAAATGGTCCGGCCGAAGTGCTTGGCGTGCATAAACGCTCCCCGCTGCTGCCGCCAAGCATGCCCTCGAAGTTTCGTATCCGCTCTTGCAGTTGCAGAAATTGATCAATGGTGAGCTGCAGATATGGGAGTTGTTGGCATCGATTATATACGATCCCAAAAGCGACACAGCAATGAAAATGTGATACAAATACACACGCACACAATACACACACACACACGCACACGCACACACACAGACACAGACATCCACACACACACACACACTCAGACGAACATTCGGTATTAGTAATAATCATTTTCATAGACATCGCGAGGATCCCCACAGCAGCCAACGAAACGAAGACGCGTATCCTCCACACACAGTTTGGCGTCCTCCTTCATCTCCTTGAGCTTGACTCTGACCTCTTCGCGCATCAGATTGCGACACATGGCCACCAGGCCCATGCCCAGCAGCATGTATATAAAGTTAATGGCTAACTTTGAGTTTTGATCGGTGACACGCTGCAGATCCGGCAACTCATTGGGATCGGCGGCAATATCTTCACGTAGCTTTTGCATCGCCGCATCCACATCGGCAGCAGTGGTCAGCGATGCGCCCGGCACAAAATCACCAAATCCAATTTTACACAGCGACGTCATGCAGAAGTAGAAGCTATTCAAGAAGCTCCATTTCTCCCAATTGGCAAACATGATGGTGCCCGTGAGCACATAGAATATGATCACCCACAGACAGGCGGTCGATGGGACAATGATCTTTTTGCGCAACGTCAGTGCACCCAGACTACCGCCATTCTCCAGGGCCTCCAATCTGGCATCGTAGCTGCGCTCCTGCGTGCAGTCGTGCATCGACCGATACAGAAACTTAAAGGAACGCGCCAGGACACGACCCATATTGAGAAAATAGAGTATATAGAGGGGTATGCCAAAGGTGGCGTAGATAACAGTAAAGCCCTTGCCCCAGGGCGTACGCGGCGCCATATTTCCATAGCCAATCATTGTGATGACAGAGAGGCAGAACATCAGGGCAGCCGGAAAGCTCCAGATCTGTGCCGGACTACGACCCACATAGCCGTTCTTAATGATCACAGCGATTTGCATCTGATATTCACGCAGCACCACATTCGTCTCGTTGACCCACTTGGGCTTATCAATTAGATTATGCTCCTCGGTGATGTTCCACAATCGCTGCGAACAATTCTGTCTCAGTTCGAGCACATGGGCCGCCGTCTTGTCCACATATTCGCGCTCGATGTTCATGAAGGCGAAGGCGCCACAGATCGCATAGAATACGATGAGAGCACCGACGCCCACCTGTGTGCACATGAATGTGACGAAGTTCCTGCAGCAGCGCTTGACGCGCTTACGCGGCTGATTGCTTGTCGTCGTTGAGGAGACGATTGATGCGTCCACGCCCCCGCCCCCGGCACCGCCAGCACCGACGCTCAGCATCTGTGGCGAGCTGCGTTGAAATTTGTTCGACATTGTGTTGCTTTGCTGCTAGAGAGCCGCCAAACAATTACATAGTTATATAATTCGTGGGCACACAAAAACCGATCAATGCTGTTCCAACTTATAGATCAATGTATATATGTGTATATTTTGTATCTTTTCCTGTATGTTAATTGGAATTTTAATGTGGTTTTTCCGATTTTTATATGCACAGCAGACGAACTTTAAAAATCAGCACAAATGCTATAAATAAATCCACGCACTGCTCAGCACAGCATTTGCCGTTAAGTAAGGAGACTCGACCATTTACGACCCGGTGTCGAGCTATATAAGATGCGCACACTGCGGACGCCAAAGAACAACTGTGTGTGTGCTCCAAAAACTATTTTTCTCTTGGGCAGAAATATCAACAAGCCTTTTAACCAAAAACCATGTCGGAAGCGTAGGTGGCGATCCATCGAACATTCAATACTCTTACAACAAGTTTTTCATATACAAAATCTGTTGCTGATCATAGGATGCGATTGACCAAAATATCTTGGAAAACGCACAATAACACAACGTTCGAAAGTTTTGGGAATAGAAACATACTAAATGGATAATGGATATATGTATCTACTTTAAAAGGAAGCCGATTTTACAGTTATTCGAAAATTAGAGAACTCTCAGGAAAAGTGTAGCAACGACAGCACAAGCATACTAAATAGTATGGGATTGAATCAAAATTATTTTGGGATACAACACATAGCAATTTTGTGGTTTTACGATTTATGAACTATAGAATTAAATTAGAACTGCATAGAAAATCAAATAGATGTTTACGTTGTGGCGAGTGTGAGCGGATTTTGGCAGACAGAAAGTCTTGCGGGCGTATGTGATTAATGAATTGAAGAGATAGTAAATCTATACATATTTATATATGTGTGTGTAACGAGACATGTACTATGAAAAATAAGCACAAATTATTTATTTCATTTGAACACGCATATTGTCGGCAGGCAATGCGGCGTCAGGGGCAAAATGTGAGCAATAACAATACGTAAGCAAAACAAAGTGTATGTAAATATAAACAAAGAATAAAAAGCGCGAAAGAGAGCACAAAAAGAAAAAAGCGCCACAGTGTGACTTGACCCAAAACGTACCGTTGCGCAGAGAACAAAACTAAAACAAATTTAAGCACACACATCTTTTTTGGGGGTTTTTTTTGCTGAGAATTTGTTGATAATTTCACTTTCAAAGACGTGTGCATTCCGCAATTGCATAACACACCTCCCTTTTTGCATGCTCTTAAGGGTCGTTCACATTCGGCTTAGCCGGTTAAACCTGTACACACAACAGACAACAGATACACAAGAAGAGGCACAAGATCAATGAGTGCGCAAAAACGGGTCAGTGGCGGTGGCTTTGCGGTAGGCAAGAAGCGTTGCATTACGTGGGCGTCATTTTAAGGGTGCAGTGCAGAGCAAAGGTGGGAGATGCTGCGCTTATGTGGTGTCCCCATGCGCGACATTCGCTCTACTGCTAATGCAGTTTCTGTTCACCAATGACCCTGAAGTTGTCTGAAGGGCCAAGCGCAGCAGCAGCGGCAGCGGCAGCAGCAGCAGCGCAGCAGCAACACCAGCTCTTGAGGGGTGAAATGCGTAGCGAAGAGATGGATTTTTTCAATACACACACTTACGCACACACACACTCATATACACTAGCACTTTGCTCACGCATATACACGCGAGCATACACACACACACACAAACACACGCACACACACATATTTTACAAATTTATGCAAAATTTTCAGCGCACCGCGCGAATTTTGCACGCTGGAACAATTTGCCGCTCTCTATGTACTTACGCCGTTTTTTGTTTTAAGTTGTTGTTATAATTTGCTTATTTAGAAAAATATTCCCGCGTCTTTTGCTGCTATCCCGTTTTCTTTTATCTTTGCGTCTGTATTTTTAATTTCGTATTTTTACATTGATATTTTCACTCAGAGCGAATATGGGCACACAAATCCTGTTAAAAATCCTAAGACTGGGCACTTTGGCGTCTGTGTGGCAGCAAAGCTGCTAGCAAAAATACCATATGCCAAAATACTAAAAAAAATACTGAAATTTGAAGTTCACAGCTCGACTTTATTTTGCCGAAATGGCAACCTTAAAACACTTGTGTCTCATTGTTCTTGAATGTTTGGAGGGAAACGCAAACACCTGCGAATTGCGCATTTTAATCATTTTGTTTATTAAAGGAGGTAAGAAACATTGGGTTCGGTTAGAATCTTGTTGAAATTATGCACGCAGAATATCACATAATCATGTATTTTTAAAATTAACTTAAATATATTTATAATAGGGATGTTCTTCGATTAATAGAAAATATATGGAATGCATTAAATAGGGTGACCCATGAAATAAATGGCCATATCTTCGTAAAAAATTGTCCAATTTCAAATATTAAGGTATTTTCAGAATTGGCTCGATTTTTGAAACAAAACTGCATTAAAATAATTTTACTTCAGACTCATCTCAGAAAGATATTAAGGGATATCCTTCAAAAAATCGAAAATAAATTCAAAACATGAAATAGGGTCGACTTTCCAATAAATGGCCATATCTTCGTCAAAAATTGTCCAATTTCAAATATTAAGGTATTTTTAGAATTAGCTCGATTTATAACACAAAACTGCATTAAAATAATTTGACATCAGACTAAGCTAAGAAGGATATTAAGGGATATTCCTCAATTAATAGAAAATGTATGGAAAGCATTAAATAAGGTCAAACCTTAAATTAATGGCCATATCTTCGTCAAAAATTGTCCAATTTCACATATTAACGTATTTTTAGAATTGGCTCGACTTTTGAAACAAAACTGCATTTAAAAAAATGGACATCAGACTCATCTAAGAAAGATATTAAGGCACATTCTTCGATTAATAGAAAATATATGGAATGCTGAAAATAGGGCCAACCTTTAAATAAATGGCCATATCTTCGTCAAAAATTGTCCAATTTCACATATTAACGTATTTTTAGAATTGGCTCGACTTTTGAAACAAAACTGCATTTAAAAAAATGGACATCAGACTCATCTAAGAAAGATATTAAGGCACATTCTTCGATTAATAGAAAATATATGGAATGCTGAAAATAGGGCCAACCTTTAAATAAATGGCCATATCTTCGTCAAAAATTGTCAAATTTCAAATCGTAAGGTATTTTTAGAATTGGCACGACTTTTGAAACAAAACTGCGTTTAAAAAAATGGACTTTAGACTCATCTAAGAAAGATATTAAGGGATATCCTTCAAAAAATCGAAAATAAATTCAAAACATGAAATAGGGCAAACCTTTAAATAAATGGCCATATCTTCGTCAAAAATTGTCCAATTTCAAATATTAACGTATTTTTAGAATTGGCACGACTTTTGAAACAAAACTGCATTAAAATAATTTGACTTCCTATATTTAAATGCAAAATGGTTTAAAATTTGTTGTATGGATGGAAAAAAGCCCAATTAAATAAAAAATAGTGAGCATAAATTAGTTAAGCCCAACCAAAAATCGTTTGCAGGAGACAATACGCTTAAAATTTGGTCTTTATTGATACAAATAGAGGACTCTGTATTGATTACCTCATAAATTATATTATAATCATTACAGAGTACTCGAAGAAGTAGAGCCGGTCTACAGGGAAAATAGAAAACTTAATTTGGCGCATCATTCAAATATAACACCTAGCATAACACGATGATGATCGATGCATGGAGGTGATAAAACCCAGTCACAGCGACGAAGAGCAAAAAGTCAGAAATTCTTTTGCACATATTCTAATCTGCTTTGGTGATTCGCAAAGGATCTTCAAATTCCTTCGAACTACGCTTAATACTTAATATTACTAAAGAAGTGTAATTTATGATCAAGAAATAAACCCATATCATTTACGACATTCAATATATCAAGTAGAAAATCCTAAAGTAAAACGGAAGACAATGATTAATGTATCAAAGGCATTACTAAAGTCTGTATGCATTTTATACTAAAATTAATGTATTAAATATTTAAGAAATCATGCTGGAAAGTTGAAGTTTTTAACATTTTGTAAAATGGTATGGCGGACAAATTGAAAATACCACTGTATTTTTTTACATCAGTCTTTAAGCTATTTTTATTGATAGGAATAATAAAGGATTCCTTCCAAAAAGCAGGTAAAGAGCAAGTATCAACTGATAATGTAAATAATTGATGGTGTGTAAAGAGAATTAGTCTCAGTACACATTTTGGAACTCTATTATTATGGCGTCATATTTAATAAAATATATAAATATCTTTAAAATGTATGTAATATTAGAAAACCTATAGTGAGCTTCCTAGGATATTAACTGAGCCAAAACTATACCAATTTTTATGAAGGATAACACAATTTTGCTAGGTCGTGTTTAGATATGGTTTCTATTTTTAAATTAAATTCATTTAATTGGAATAACAAATTGCTCTATTATTTTTGGTACAAATTATCGAATTCATTTAAAGCAAATATGTATATACAGGTTCAATCGGGGTTTGGATATTCCCATAAAAAATCACTCAATTTCAACCTGTTATACATTTTGATTTTAATTAGGATTTATACTTACTTAAATACTTATCACTGGACATCTATACTTACTGAATTATGTAGGCAAAAACTGGATAAAAGCTGAAAATATAAAAATTCCCGCAACTTCACCCAAAAACCCTAACGATTTGAATTGTGCTTCCAACGAAGGGCATATTTACTAGAATCGTATACCCAATATAAAGCTATGTTATTAATAATAATCATAAATTTGAGTTGGTTTTATTTTCATTGACATTAAAATGCTGCTAGTGATGTATATTTTGGATTTAGTTTGAATAAATTTGCAATATATGCATATACTTGTATATATATATATATATACATATATAGTATATGAACTGATTTATATAAACTGTTAGACGACGAAAAATTTGTTTATAATATTTGACACTTGTGCCATGACATTATGTAATAGTTAAAAATTCACATATGCATACAAATGTCTACATATGTATGTATGTATGTATTTGAGCACGTATTTCCATTAGTTGTTAATATTATTATAAATACAAAATTGTCGAGTGAAGAGGAAAAAATTAATTACATCAAATCTTGTTATGTGTGGTGCACGTTAATCAACTCATTTTTTTTATATTGTTGCTGTTGATATAGTTATTTAATTCTTCAGTTAGTAAGCCCCTATATATATGAGTTTTCAGTTTTATATATAAAAATACTCCATTTTCCAGTTCCTATCATGTTGCTTTTTTGTTTTTTAAGCTCTAGAAGAGAGTGCAATATATTTTTGATGTAGGATTCCTTGGGTGAGGGTTAGGATATTCCCATTCTAAATACGTAGAGTATGTAGTAATTTGTATGTTATTAATATAAGTTCATATTTATTACATTTTTGGTACATAAATCTGTGTGT